TACCTCCTCCTCCCCACTCCTCCTCCCCACCTCCTCCTCCTCCTCCTCCTCCTCCTCCTCCTCCTCCTCCTCCTCCTCCTCCTCCTTGCACTACACAGGAAAGTTCCGTTCTACCTCCTCTTTGTTCACTACGATACGAGCAGATCTCTGTGAAGGTCAGCATGTCAGGGGAAGGAGAAATGCGTGCAAGAGATACCTTATTCGTCAACGTCACCAACGATGCAGCTGGCTGTACCTGCTCGCGCACAGTCTTCAATCAGAGGATTCGAGCAGGTTTGTCTCTTCCTCCACTTACCGCAAGACTGGTTCCTGCTACAATCAAGACATCGAGGTCCTGCATATCCTCGTCTTTCCTTTCCCAGAACTCCGGAGGAAGGTTTCGACCGTAGAGCACAGTAGCTGGCTTGACAAGAGGCTTCCCGCAACTCAAGCATTCGATCGGCCTGGACTCTTTTGGCGCATGCTCGTCGATGTTGTATATGTCCTTGATCTTTTCTCGCACTTCCGAGCAAAACTTCTCCGAAGGGTAAGGAGTCTTACAACCTTCACACTCAACCCTCCCCAAAGATCCATGCACGGAGATGATCTTGTCATTCGGGATGCCTGTCTTGTAATCAAGCCCGTCTATGTTCTGCGTGTAGAGCCTCTTCAATAGCCCTTTGTCATGACACACCCTAAAGAAAAAATGCCCCAGCGTGGGTTTGTACGTGTCTTTCCCTTTCTCCTCTTTGTCCAGCACACCCAGCATGAACGGTCTTCTCAGCTCCAGGTACGGCAACTGGTTCCTTGAGAAGATCTCCCAGCTCACTACAGCCGTCGGATCCGCCCGCATCGCCCTCCTCTCCAACTCTGAGGCTGTCAAGAGCTCGGGTCTCAGCGTGTCGTACATCCCTCCTGGTGATCTGAAGTCGGGGATACCCGAGGACACGCTCAGACCGGCTCCTATCAACGCGCATACTCTCCTCCCCGCTAGCAGCGCCGCTGCAGCCATGGAAGGAGGTCCCATGCCGATCTCGCAGGTCACGATACTGTAAAATGTTTACTATACTTTAAAACAGTTTTAAAACGGGATCTGCTCGACACGCCCGACGATATGGCGACAGAGCTTGTTGAGCGAGGATGCGGTCTTTTGGGGATAGCACCACCTGACGAATTGTCATCGTTCCAGAGGATGCGGTCTTTTGGGGGATAGCACCACCTGACGAATTGTCATCGTTCCAGAGGATGCGGTCTTTTGGGGGATAGCACCACCTGACGAATTGTCATCGTTCCAGAGGGTCCGGAAACTCTACTCCCTTTCCAACGATCCTCCAGGGTCTGAAACTTCACTACCTGGCCTCGTTCAGAGAGCGGACAGATGTGAGAAAGGATATGAGAGTCATGCAAGCCCAATCACCATTCCAATGGAGAACGAGCCTTCCTGCTTCTGGCGTTCTGAAGAAGAGTGGGATTCATATCAGATAGTTCAGAATCATATAACAAAGAACTTCCAGATGACCATGTCAAGATGTTGTAGGGAATGCACTTCTTCACACGACAACAATGTACAAGATGCCTGAAGCATTACAACAAACAAATAAAAGATTCCTCGTCTAAACACTTGCATGGCGAGAAAGGTCATATCATGAGCTGCACATGTTCTACATGCCCGTAAGCATCATTGTTCTCTTCTCCGTGATCGTCTTTCACGTTGTGATGTCTAAAGGATACTGTCATCGTGAAGAGGGGCCAGATGAACAAGAAGGATAAGTTTACCATCGATGTCGAGAATAGTACTCTATGCCATAGCACGTCGTGCTCTGCTGTTGGAAATGCCGGATACAAATGTCTGATCAATTCTAAACCTTTCCGCGCCATCGTAGCAAAGGGCTCCAGGAGGGACACAGGGGGTAGTGTTCATCGCCCCATTCAGAAACTGCTACAAGAGCGCAGAAGTATCTCCGCAGCATTGCACAACGTTTACATTGCTCGTCTTGAAGTTGAGAAGTCATGGAACAGTGGGACAGTCGAGTTACCTGCCGGGCCCGCGATCGCCTGGTCGGTTTCAATCTTGACTGCCAGTTACTGGCAACCACCGAAGCTGAGCCTGTGATGAGTCAGGCTGCTGCCAAGGACCAATCATCCGTTCCAACACTCTAATCAGATTGGACTCGATGCTCACCGATATGCTACGATGGACGGCCGTCTATCATGCGTTATCTTACGCTGTAGAGACACTGAAGAGCACAGATCAGGAAGGACTCTCTTCTGGATGGCAAGACCAGGAACAAGGATATCAATGTCATGTGTACCGTCGAGGTCCAACATCACATGGTAACTACAAAACTTGAGTGAAGCAAGGAGGCTACCCAGGAGCAACGCATGGAAGCATGTGCCAATTTAAGTTTTGATCCTCAGGAGATGGGAGCAGAAGTTTTGAATGATCTTTACGTCTCGGCCCCTGCACCTAGTCTTATTTCTGATTGTAAGCAGTTCAGTTCTTTTCCGTCTTTATGTTGTGTTGTTGAATCATGTTGTGTTGTTGTGGGTGTAAATAGAAAATCGTGCATCTCTCTTTCTCTTACACGAGTTCTTCGTGCATGTATGATCAACAACGTAGTCTAAAGCTCCAAGGACCTGAATGCAACTCATGTGCATTATGTCGTTGGTTTCGAACGTATGATCAAAATCAAAGCCAAGAACTGTAAGGTTGTAAGGTCCTTTCAGCTCTGACAGTTCTCGCACACATCAAGCAGCTCTTCTCAGGTGCATGGTCGTCACGAGCGACTCATAAACGCAAGTCTTTTCCTGCCATGATGCAAACATCCTTCATATGAGATCAAGATCAAAACATTCATTCACAAGCATCCACCAGTCTTGCACCACATGCAACCTGAGATTAAACACCTGCCGCACCCTCCCTTAGCACATCCTCCTCAACTAGAAGCCCCCCCTCCTCCCTCCTGCTTAGAGTCCTTGTGCTGCTCATCAGCACCAGACAGCTGCACCTTCTCTCCAGCCAGAGTCGAAGGCATCCCCATCTTCTGCATCGTCTGCCTCCATATCGCCATCGGTTGCTCTGTCATCTTGATCCCCCTGGACTGCTCGTAGCACCGCCAGAACTCCCCAGATTCCTGCGTGCAGAAAGTCCAACTCGACCAGCTTGTCAGGGCATGCTCTCCCTTGAGGCAGCTCAACAGCTTCTTGTGCTGCTCTTCGCATTCAGACAGCGCCCTCACCTTGGCGCTTTCCGAGGCGTCCTCCGTCCCATCCGACATGGCTGGTCACGTTCGCACCGGGTCGTGTACAGGCGCCTCTGCTGTATCAATTGTTTACTTATAGGCTCAATTAAGAAAACTGCAAGGTAGAGGAGCCAGGGGCATAATTGAAAACAGAGAGAGAGAGAGCAGGAGGGGAACAGCAGGAAACATGCAGCGAGCTCAGAGGGGGAAGTAGGGAGCGGGGGCCTGGAGAGGAAGCGGGAGGAGGAAGAAACATGCATGAAGTTGAAAGAAGATGAAGGAAGAGAGAAGACTGTGAAGCAGGAAGAGAGATTCAGAACAAGCACTTGAAGACACTGATTGTTGTTGTTTTTGACGACTTTTCCGTGTCAATCAGGAAAGTGGAGCGCTGTTCACAGGCACATTGCGATGCTTTCTCAGAGCATTTGAACCGACAGCATGCCGACTGAAAGAGATGGCCTGTTGCGCTTTGAGCAGACAGAGAGCAAGTATCTTCACGTTACCTTGTTACAAGTGTGCAGTGGTGCTGACCATGTTTGCAAACAGGAAGGACTCTTCAACACATCGGCACGTGGTCCTTGGTGCCTTCCTTGTCGCCTTCGTGTGCTCGTGCTTGGCTCTCATCCTGCTGTACATATGGAGCTCCGGCATCAAGACTCACACCATGAAGAATTACATGGATGAAAACACTTACCTCTCGCCGGGAAACTAGAGTGGCCCCGGTTGAGGAGATGCTTCCTGCCAGCTCCTTGTAACATGGTTGACGTGGAGGAGAGGAGAGAATATATCAGGGGTGGCTGTATTTACTGCGCTTTCTATTCGCTCTTAGTGTTATTCGACGTGAAGGAGAGAAAAAATAGGTCAGGGAAGGGCTCTATATACAAGTGTGTGTTGTGTTGGAAGAGAAGATTACAGGACAACGTCTGGTCCTGTTCCTCGGGGGATGAACTTTTCCCTCAAGACTGGCACGGGGGTCGTTAAAGAATATAAGGGGGTCGAACTGGGCGTCGATGATTTCTGCTCCTTGCCTCCTGGATCATTGCCGTCAAGATCCAGATCCTGCGATCGTGGCAAGGCAGGGATATCCTTGGCCTGGAAGCTCTCGGTCATGCTCTACTCTCGACCATGCCAGCGCTCACCTCGAACTCGTCGGCGATGAACTCTCGTTGCAGTCGGACGTTGACTCGCAGTCGATACTTGGGTTTGATCAGCCCAAGGACCACTGATGACATGTATGGGCCCTGGTCCAGCAAGTAACCAGCAAGGACAATGAGCTAGAAGGGAAGGGTACCTTCAGGAGAGGTCTGATCTGCTCGATAGTCAGCTCCGCAAGGGTTTGATAATCGACTCTGTGCAGAAGATCGCCCTTCATGACCAATCCACTTCTGCAAACGAAGGGGTGAGCATGTTGTCAAGTCAGCTCCAGTATCAACCATCCCGGACATCAACCGTGCCCGAGGGGGACGTGAGGCCCAACTCACCTTCCAGCAGGACCTTCCGGGAAGACCCTTTGAATGATGATCGCCCCATCGAATTCGATGAGCTTCAGCCCAACCCCGCACTCGTTTGCCATCCCCTGGAAGCAACCGGCGTCACAAGGAGAAGCTCCTCACCAAAACCCCCGACCTCAGGAACTGGAGCTATCGGCTGCTCCAAGTAGTTGAATGTGGGCGTGTAGGGGTGAGGGCCAGGAGGGTACGAGCGAGCCGTTGATGGCATGGAACGCGCGCTTGAGAGCCCGTTGGTCGCACTTGATTGTGTGTCTGGTGTCATCATACCGCTGAAGGGTGAGGCGTCTGGCTTGGGAGTGACTGTCAAGTCTGCTGGGGGTGCTGTTCCACCAGCGGGGGGTTCTCTTTGGACCATGACTTCATAGATGGGACTTAAGCTGTCCCCTGCTCTTCGGTCTCGAAGCAAACGGCGGAGAGACAATGATACGGTAGTCCCCCGCCTACCGACTATCAAGCTCCTCACCTGTTGCATCGGCATCCCCAATGTCGTGTGCCCGTTGATGGCGACTAAGAAATCTCCGGCATGCAACTCCGCCGTCCTGCTGGCCGGGCCATCAGGGGAGATTTGTTTGATTGTAAGTAGACCATTGGAGGTTCTTTCGATAAAGACACCAATGCCGCACATAGCCTCGTTGACCTGAGGTCTGAATTGCTGTGCATTGATTGAAGGATTCGCCCTCTTCATCCTGCTTTGCTCGTCGGGAGAAGATTCGGCAGTTTGCGCCATGTTGGTAGGGGGAGTACCGCTCGGGAAAGACGGTGTGCTGTTCATGTTTTGTGGCGCAGGAGGCATTGGTTGTCTGTTCAATTTCGGATTAGAGGCATTGTCTCTCGATGCTGGGACGTTCTGCAATGATCTTGTGACTGGAACTTCAAGGAACTGCCCCGGTGCCGTCCCCTGCCGGTGCTGACCAGGAAATTCTCTTAGTATCCCGATGATCACACTGCTTCCGACCGGCCCCATGATCAGGTCGCGTGCTTGAACCACTGACATCCCCCTGACGTTTCTTCCATTGATTGTTGTGATGATGTCCATTCTCTTGAACTTCTTTGCATTGTCAGCGGGGCCGTTGGGTGCCTGACCAGGAATTCGGTAAAGACAAAAACTCACGAAGACATGGTACGCACGATATCTGTTATGCGGAGATCCCCTCGCATATCATTTCTCAATGTCATGCCCAGTCCAGCTTTTTGTGGAGGAGCTGGTAACAAATCTTTACACGGCACTGCGATAGAAGGGTCTTGTGCATCATCAGATTACCTTGAGGGAGGGAGTTCATCGGATTTGGAGAGGATGCTGCTCCTCTGTTGAGATTGGAGTCTGCGAGCGAAACAAAAACTCAATCAAAACGAGGCGTCAAACATTGACAAGAACTTACAGATTGGATTAGGGGGCGACTTCTTCACGTTTGGGAAAAATTGGCTGTTTGAATCTCAGGAAATGACATAAGGATCATAGGAATGGATGTACTTGTCCTGATTAGGGCTGCGATTCTCGGGAGCACCAGCGAACAAATGTTGTGGTTGTATCTTCATCATTTCCTCTTGCCCAGTCTCGACATGCAAGTGTGTCATCTCCCCTTCAGTGTGGGCTTGAGGAGGCTGATTTGCTGTCATGGGAGTGATGGAATTCCTGCATGTGAATACTCAGCACTCTTGAGATGACTGCAAGATGCCTTCCTCACCACTGATGCTCACCAAACCCATTCAAGTTCGGGGCCGAGTTCACAGCAACAGGTTCATACCCCATGTTCACTTGCTCGCGGGGAGTTTGAGCCTGGTTGTTCACACGAGGAGAGACTTCCCTGGAGCCACCTCCTCTCAGGATGGACGTGACGAACACAGCACTCCTGCAGATTGCTTTCAGAGGAGCAGACGTGTCAGGATCTCTTGCCTTCCGTTCTGAAGTCTTCGAAGCATCAGCTCACATGGCGTCCCAGGTTGCCCCAGAATGAGCGACCTCACCATATCCAGCCCCAACCCGTCAAGCCTTCTTCCGTTCACTTGCATAAGAATGTCTCCAATGGACACGCTTCTTGCTCTACTCTCAACAAAGTCACAACTTGGAAATGTTAACAATGTCGACCTTGCTGCTGGCCCTCCCGGTGTGATTTTCGTGACTGTGTACTGCCCTGAGAACGAGACGCAACTCATATGATTGAATGCATTCCAGCCTGAAGCTTACCCATCACATTTTTTGTTAGGAATAATCCTATTCCTGCAGACATAGTCCCGGAACAGTACCTGAGAAGCCAAGCGATCAGGAATTCAAAGAATGAAAGCATGTCTGTTCTGTCGTCATAGCAAGAGGCTGACTTGGTCATGTCCAATCGTCTCCTCTCCAAAAAGACACATAATTTGCACTCAGAGCTTCTTCGCATTTGAAATGGAACTCGATCAATGCAAGAACTAAGCTCCTGATCTTGTGCTGGGGCCCAATAATAGCTAATCCCATCTCATCTCTCCCCTCTCTACCATGATCCTATTTCCTACTCCTGGTGGAGCCATCATCTTCCTTGCTGTTCATGTGCGAAATCAAATCCAAGCATGTTCGTCTCCTATGTCTGGTCCAATGACAACCATTTCCTTCTCTCTCCCTTCCGTCTTCCCCCTTCTGCAGTCGCCATCATCGCCGGTCCCCCCTAGCATTCGCAGTAAGGATGCCCCCACCCTGGCTCATTCCTGACTTTGTACCCCTACCCGTGTCTTTGAGGATAACCCCACCCCCTAACCCACCCTCCCGGGTACCACCTCATCAACTTTCGCAAGCATGACCCCTTGCACCACCCCCCTACCTGTCGCAAGAACCACACCACCCATAACGAAACTTTGAAGCACCCCTACATTTTACTGCTCATAGACCGTACCATAGTACCCCGTTGTATTCACTCAAGTCGCCCTCAAGTTAGAGCCAAAGATGGACCGGTTGCTGCATTTCCTTGTACCCACCCTTTCGTCCGAGTGGCCGGGTGGAGGGGGTGGGGACGGGGGGGATGCCGAGTCTCCGCAAGACTGGCATTGACCCCACCCCCTCCACCCTACCCTGAACTTCCACCAAAACCACACCCGTCCCCCATCGGCTCTCGGAATTCAAACTCTGCGTCACGGGGTACCACCCCTGGTCATCCCCACTGGCTGAAAGCACTTCATGACCCGTCATGTGTTCCACTCGCCGTTACTACCCGTCAACCGTGATTCAGCTATTTGCTTCACAGGTGACCCCCACCGGGGGTAGTAGTACCCCCACCGGTGACTCAACAGGCTACTCCCCGCTGGCGAGCGGTGCCCCGGGGTTGTCTTTTAACGGTTTACCTGCTTTACTCAAATTTAACTTAAATCACAAGTACTATGCAATATTGTACTACGGCCTTCGATCACTACTCGTAGTAACTGCCAGGAGCCTAGCCTAATAAGCCCCGGGCCGCACTGCGGCAGTGCCATCGGGCCGGCCGGGCTCAAAACCATGACAAGAAGGCGGCGGGTACTAGCCAATGATTCACGGAGTCATGATGATCGCGGGCTGCAGTCAGAGTCCGCTGGCCGCGCCGTGATGATTCAACACGGGCCGGGTCAGCCTGGCGCCGGGCTCAGCAGCCTGGCACTGCCAGTGCAGCGGTGCCGGGCGCACTGCCAAGGTGACAGTGAGGCCGGGCGTGAGCCGCTGAGCACCCCCAGTGAGTCAGGCGTGAGCGGCAGCTCCGTTTGAATCCGCCTGATTGCGGCCATCATGGCATGGCCTCCCTGATCATAATCGTTCTCACTGCCCGGCGAAGTTGATCCGATGCAGATATGATACTTTTGGGATCAGAGACGACCTTAGATCGCCTCTGGCCCGAGGCCCGGGATCATCAAGAGATTTATAATGAGCGTTCACCAAGGTAAAACGTCACTGAAAAGAATAACTTAACTTAGATCTGTCCCATGGACTTTACAGCACCGTGCCGAGGCTGATAAGAATTTCAATCTCAGCCGCTTCAATGAGCACGCCATCAGCACAGGCTTCATATTCTTGGAGCACCAGCACCTAGTAGGGGCTCCGCAAAGAGCCTGGCCATACGAAGTCAGTGATCAAGCCTGCCATTTCCCAGCAGCAGCGAGGAAACCCATTACCTTGGTCTCTTGTAATTCATCCTGGCGGCAGAACTCCCAAAGCCTCGATTCGAGGACCCTTCAGGAATGTTGCATTTCTGGTTCACGGCATGTTCACATCGAGCACACTCACACATCTCGTTCAGGGAGCTCACCTTGTTGACAACATCTATGTGATGTGGGAGCTTGTGCTGTGAGCAGAATTTGGCTGGCCCGTTGGAGTCTCCGAAGACAGCCTTTCAGAAGAAAACCACCATCATAGACATGTCGGAGGAGCCTCAACTTCAATGTACCTGAGTCTCGCACCCTTCAAGGTGGCCACACTTCCTGCTGACGACGTAGATGTGCCCCGTTTCTCTGTCAAAAAGGCGTGTAAGCAGATCAGCACGCGCGAGCAGCTCTGGGTCAACCTGTGATAGGCACAGGCGACCGGCATCCTGTCCCCAGGGTCCCCAAAGCTTGCGACTGTATCGCAATTAAAGAAGGAGCACTTCCTGTGAACCAGATCGATATATCCATCAAGCTTGTGCACGGAACAATATTCGAGAGTTCGCGTCTGCGGACTTCCAAAGGTAGCTCGAAGAGGGCAAGCGTGGTAGCGACAAACTCGTCCAATAACGTTGACCTCGTCCGATTGCCTAACATGACCATAAGCATGTCAAAGCGCTCATCTCATCAGCATACCTGTGTCTCTTGCAGTGAACTGCTCCTTTTCTTCCAAGTTGAACTGACCCAAACGATGCTGACTTCCTACACAGCAAGCATTTGGTCCGCAAAGACTCCGATAGGGGATTTTCAACTGTACATATCCTACAAAAGAATCTACACCATTGCCCCTCCGCATCAGCCTGTCCATGCGTGACGTCGAGCGAACCACACATGCTGCAGGCTCTGCTGGTTACTGGATGCGTCCTCGAGTGCATGTCTTCCTCCTGATCTGCCTCCTCGGATGACCGACTGGACAAATAGTACTCAGCGTTCCGATGGTGTGACCTGGACAGGCATGTCCTGCTGTTATGCCCAGCTCTCCCGCATGTTCGGCATAATTGCGTACCAATGCCTCCCTTTTCGAACCGAATCTGAAGCTCACCCCCTCTAAGCCGCAGTCCACCTTCCCCTTTCTCCAACCTTCCTTCCAGCTGACATATTTGTAACAGGAAAGAAAGTGACGCCAATACCAGTCGTTGACGCTTCCTTACTTGCTCAAAAAAGTTCATATCTATATCTTTGGCGATCAATCAAAAAATTTCATCTCGCATAGATCCTTGAATTCTTCCCGCGCATTTCAGTTGCCATCAACATCATTGGACATCGCCGCTCCCTGTTCCCTAGTACATGGCAATACCTTTGCGTCTCAACCATCAATAAGTAGGAACTCTCAGTGGGTATCGTCTTATCAGAGTTCTTCAATCTGCTTTATCATCTCTTCTGATCGTCCCAACCATTTGTTGTCGCCGCCGCCGCCGCCATAGTCGACAGCGCAGCCCGGCCTCCATCCATTTCTATGAGCTGAAACCCTCATCACCCCTCCTGCCCTTAGACAGGCCCCGGGCAGCTGCCCGGGCAGCAGCCCGGGCCCCGAACCTGTAGTTTGGGACTGAGCGGGGAGGCGGGTGCGTTGTTGGCCATGGCATGCAAGGTGTGGCTGACGGCCGCGGCCATGGCTGGGTGGCTGGCGATGGGGGAAGGGGGAGGGAGGAGTGCAGAGGAAATATCTCTAGAGGAGAAGGCGCAGAGTTGGAACCTTGTCGTGGTCGTCACCCTCCTGGGCGTCTGCATCTTCTGTACCTACCTTCTGCTCGCTACTTCCAGCTGGCGTTGTATCAAGTACCTCCCTGAATCCGTCGTGACGATCGTGCTCGGCATTCTCGCTGGCTCCATCCTCACACTGAGTGGGCAGACACTGTCCAACCTGATAACCTTCGATCCCCAGACGTTCTTCATCTACATGCTCCCTCCCATAATCTTCGAAAGCGGCTACTCCCTGCACAAAGGCAACTTCTTCATCAACTTCGGCAGCATTCTTGTCTTTGCGGTGGCTGGGACTCTTATCTCTACCTTGGTCGTTGGACTTGGGACGTATGTGCTTGGGCAGATGAAGGTCAGCTATCCTCTCACGATGCTTGACAGCTTGACCTTCGGATCTTTAATCTCTGCGACCGACCCGGTTGCTACTCTGGCAATCTTCCATGCATTGGATGTGAACCCAACACTTTACATGCTCGTCTTCGGTGAGAGCGTCCTCAACGATGCAGTTGCCGTCGTGCTCTTTCGGACATTCCTCAGCTTCTATGAGAGGGAGCATGACAGCTGGACGTCTGCAATCCTTCAGTTTGTCTTCGTCTCGCTATTTTCGGGGGTGGTTGGAGTGATCGTTGCTCTTTTCAGCGCTCTAGTCTTTAAGCTCACTCGGCTCTATCAGCATCCTTCTCTGGAAGCAGCTCTCATGTTCGTCTTCGCTTACCTCCCCTACTTGCTTGCGGAAGCTCTTAACCTCTCAGGAATCATGGCCATTCTGTTTGCTGGCATTGTCATGTCACATTACACTCACTACAATCTCTCTCCTACAACACAAATGACTGCTCAGCAAACGTTCAGAACAGCTGCGCTAATGGCGGAGACGGCGATCTTCGCGTACATGGGACTCTCATTGCCAACCTTGCAGGTTTGCGAGCTGCTGCGTTGCAATTGCACGATGTACTGACTTTCTCTTGATCAGCATCGCTTCCACGTTGGGTTTATCATAAGTGCAATGGTGTTGATTCTCCTGGGACGTGCTCTGAACATCTTCCCTCTCTCTTTCTTGATCAACAGGAAGTCGCAGAACTCTGGGATGAAGATTTCCAGCAAGGAGCAGTTCATAATGTGGTTTTCAGGACTCCGAGGAGCCATCGCCTTCTCCTTGGTCCTCAACATGCAGTCTCACTCGCTGACTGCAGTCTCTCCAGAAACCAAAGCAGTGCTTGTCACAACCACATTGATCGTTGTGCTCTCCACTATCTTCATTTTCGGAGGTGGGACCGCGCCGCTACTCGAAATGCTGCTGGGGGAGAAGAAGGAAATCCACATTGCGGTCTCCAAAACATCGGAGATGGGAGCTCCGCTCGATCTTAGGGAGAGCATGGACGATTGGAGGTACAACGAGTCAGGAACCGGCAACTTGAGCGTGGCGAGTCGACGGGCGGCTGGCTTCGAGTTGTACGACAAACAGGTAGAATGGGGAGGGTGCAGTTGGCATCTGATTGACTGTACTTTCCTCTCCAGTGGTTTATCCCGATCTTTCGAGTCTTGGAGCACGAGCGGCCTGTGGAGGCTCCACATGGTTTCCATCTGCCATCCAGCAGTCATCCGCATGAGCGAGAGATGCTGCTTCGCGAGGAGAATGAAGACGGGTGGACGATGAGATCAGACAAAGGCAACTCAAACTCGAACACGCGGGCCAGATCTAAGTCACCAAGAGAACGAACAAACAATGCTAGCGCAGCGAGCAGCTAATATTCAAGAAAGACTGCAATGCTTGGTGCTAGCATTCAATTTCTCTCTCTTCCAAACATGTATCAAATTTCCATGTAGAAAGAGTGTCATGAATACAACACATGCTTCTGTGATTCAACAGAGCGAATTCAGTGCGTTCATTTTTTTTGAATTTTTATTAAAAATAATCCATGCGGTACTGCCTGTCAACTATAGCATACTGTACATTTACTGCTGGCGGTAGTCGCAGTAGGTGTGGGAGCGGCCGCCATCGCAGTTGTTGACGTAGCCAGTGGAGGGCATGTAGAGCTGAGGGCTGTGTCAGCACAAACAATAGCAAGTAATTCATAGCACTCACAGTTCCGTAGTAGTCGTGGCCGGAACCCTGTCCATCGAACTCGCCAGAGCCGAAGTAGATGTAGGAGGTTCCGTTGCCGTTGACCCAGGACTGCGGCTGGATGCCGCTGGAACCAGCGTAGCCGGTGTCAAAGGCGACAGACTCGAGGACGGAGAACATTCTGTCGACGTTGGTGAGAAACAACCAAAGCAGAAGGGAAAGCAGAGATCACACAGCACGACTCCCGCATATCAAACAACATTTCGCATGAGGAATGTGCTACAAGTGCTTGCACACATTCTTCAAGTCTTACAATCATTATGGCTACTCCAAACACAACAATCATAACACAATATTCACTATCGATGCATACCTCTTCTTGCCGACGCACCTCGCTTCAAGTCTATATATACCCCCTCTGCTCTATTTCGGGTGACACAACCCTACCCCTTTGATCATCCCAGAGCTCACTGAAATCTGACTACCCCACCCGTTCTGGCTCCATCCCATCATCGTCGTTTGGAATAAGATGCCAAGTGATAAGAAATTCTATAAATTCAAACAATGTAATTTGCATCACCCCTACACCTTGACCTTGAAAGGTACCCCTATGCCTTCGATGTTGAAATCGTTTCCAAGTACCCCTACCCCCACTTCGTAGGGACGATTGCTCCGAAGAAACCCTGATATAGAGCACCGGTTTAAAACACTGGTTTTTAGAAAGTTTTGTGGTACAAAATAAATTAATTTTTAGTGCATATCAGGTACAACAAATGACGTACCGTAATGACTCTCAAGTACTTCAAGCTTTGATTGAGGGTCCACAAATTGAACCACTTTATAGTTGTTTTTTTCAGCCCACGGTACTGGCCGGGCTCAGTGCCACACGGTACCGTAGTACGGTACGGGCCCGGCGCGGGGGCAGGGCTGCCGCGCAACGGCTGAGTCGTGACTGGTCGCCGGGTGGCCGAGTCTGCGGCAGCCGCGCCTACGGCGTCGGCTAAGTTCGGGCGGCACCGTGACTGAGCCGCTGAGCGGGACTGGCTGCCAGGACTCGGGCTGACCCGCCGGGTACTCGGTGTGACTCGTCGGAGCCCCTGCCCCGGGGTTCCGAACTCGTCGGCCCCGGAAGTTCCGGCCCGGGCCCTCGGCCTCTCAGCGGCCACCGGGGCCCGCTCAGCAGCACCGCACGCGGCACTACTGTGCGCCGTCACCCGCGCGGCGGCGGCCCGCGGCCGCCGGGACTCGGACTCGGAGCCCTGAGCCTCGGGAGGCCGCTGCCGGGGCCGGCGAGTGCCTGATGAACCGGGCTCACTGTGCCGCAGTCGGCGCGTTCCCGGCGACTGAGTGACACCGTGAGTTGCAGCCTCACGGCCGGGGCCGGCTGCGGCAGTGCCGCCCGGCCGCGGCTGCCGGGGCCCGGCCGGCGAAGGCTTGGCCGCGTCTCAGCCGGCCAGCGGCTGCCACTTTACTCAAAGTTAAGTTAAAAAGCAGTACGAGGACAATCAGGAGAGCCACCGTCAGCCTCAGGCTGTGACGGCCCGGCATCATCTGTCAGCGCGGCTCCCGCCGCTTACACTTACTTTACTCAAAGTGAAGTGAAAAATCAGTACGAGGACAATAATGAGAGTCGAGGAGGCTTGACCCTGACACTGTCGCACAGCGGCCAAACGGCGAGAAGAGAAAAGACAGCGAGAACCAAACCTAATCCTGCCGACTGCTGTCCCCCAAACTACAGTTAGACTCTCACGGTGGCGGCCCGGTACGGCGCGGCAGGCTCAAGACCAGATCGGACTCCCGGGCGATCGGACAGTCGCGGCCAGCGGCGACGGCAGTGTGGCCGTGACCCGGCATCGATCGTTGATTGACTTGCCAGTCCTCCAGGTTGCAAACACTATCACAGCTGGGCGAGTGGGGATCAACAGAGTCAGTGTGCCAGGTTGAATGCAACTCAGAGAGTCAGTGAAATCTCGCACGGCGACCGGTGACCACCGTCGGCACCACCGGCATTTCACCCGGAAACTTGCCTTGCCCAAGAAGAATCGGATGCGAACTGAAGGCTCAGCGGCAGTCCAGTCCATGGCATCACACTGTAATTGTACGGCATAGAGGTCGATGCCAGTGCTAGAAGAGTGTGGCATGTTGGAGCATTCAACAACAAATCTTGCATGAAAGTCCTGTTTGAAATATACTTTTATACTGATTCTAGGTGGACTCGCTTGCATTTGTCAGCCATATCATCGTGCTAGTGTCGCAAACCGAGCACATTTCCTTGCACACTCTATGTGCAGGTCAATCCTCGAACCAACGCACTCGTAAGTGCAACCACAGTAATAATCCATGCAGAATTTCAAGGTGGAAACACCTTTGGGAAGTCATTGCAGAAGTGAACTGGCACAACTGAGAAAATAACAAGGAAGACACCAGAACTGAACAAAGAGAAAGCACCAGAATGTGATTTTTGATAATTTATTCCATTCCCAGAAGAGTAATTTACTCGTAGAGGGACTTGGTGTAGGTGGCGGTGGCAGCGACGTAGGCGTCACGGGCAGCCTTGTAGGGGCCAGTGGCGAGCTTGAGCTCGTTGGCGGCCTTGAGGTAGGCGTCGCGGGTGGCGCGGTAGGTGGTGGCGTAATCCTCAAGGTCGAAGAGAAGAGCGAACATTGCTGCGTCAAGAGGTCAGAATATTGAATAACATCACAACAGAGTGGTCGCAATCACATCAAGTAAATCATAAGGGATAATCATTCTTGCACACGTTCATTGGAACACATTTCCAACCTGCTGGTGCTGGAACCACCGCTCCCCCGCCTTTTAAATCCCTCTGCCTCTCCTGCTCTATTTCCGGAGTTTTTTTTTCACTCCCGAAATAGCCTTCCAAGTCAACATCCAGATTCTAAAATTGCTAACCCAAACATCGAATGAACGTAGGAATTATAAAGAAATATTTCAAATATTTCACGCAAGTTTTAATTCCAAGAATAAACAACCCGCCTCAGAATATCAATTAGGATCACACCTTGGTTTCCTATATGCCCAACTTGATGTCCTTGAAAGTCGATAATTGTTTACTTGTTTGAGTTTTAGACCTGACTCGGGAATCAAGCCGGGCCGGGCCGGGCGTCCGGGGGAGTCACCCACTGATCTCTCTAACGAACTTTTTCACTAGAGATAGGCACAACGGTCATGCCCGATTTGTGGTAGGGTGAAGACATTGCCTCAGAGCCCTCAGATAGGAAATAGAAATGGCATCAAATATGGTAGCTTCATGAAGTAGTGATTTGAATAGCTGCCCTCCAGCAAAGATTGTACGTCGACCAGTAGTGACTCACTAGGGAGCTCTTCCTCCTCTGACGCTGGCCTTGGCGATCGAGGCGACCAGGCACAGCAGCTGTGGTGACAGTGACTCTCAGCGTGCGCGAAGAAACTTCGGAAGAGGAGAAGGAGGGAGATAGTTTCCAGCTGAGGGAAGGACCAGGAGTGCCTAGAAGAGCTCAGCCGTTGAAGTGACCGACATGAAGCAGCTGTCTATCGTCCTCGTCCTCGGATGGCTCTTGGCATGCCCTCATGCGACAGCTTCTGTCGAGTTGGATGGGCATGCATTCCTCGACGCGGTCGCCAGGGGTGAGGAGCAGGCTGTGAATGAGATGCTCTCATCTGGCATCAACCCCGACCAAGTCTTGACACCCTCTGGAGAGACCGCAGTGCACCTGGCAGCCCTGTCAGGAAACCTCAGTGCGTACCTTTGTTCCCCCACTGGTCTGACCATGACTGATCGGTTCGGCAGATATCCTCCATGCACTCCTGCAGGCAGGAGCGAATGTGAACGTCATCACTACTGGAAGCGACGGATTGCTTCCGATTGAAAAGCGCACACCCTTGATGTGGTTTGCGTCGTCGTGCCAAGTTGGATATACTTGCCGAGTTTGCTCCTAAGATCTCAACAGCCTGGCAGGTTGACGGAGTCCAGGCGCTTGTCGATGCTGGTGCAAGAGCTGATATTGAGAACGAGAATGGACAGACGGTAAGATACGATACGATCTTTTCTCGCATGGATCATCGAGGGCGGGGGGTTACCATTGCCTTCGTCTCCTTTTGTGATTTCAGGGCAGGTGCTTGCTTTGATCCAGAATCATGTAGGAGATGAATGCGCGAAAGTGAGGAAAATTCTTCAGGTTTTGTCATGCAAGTTTGAGCAGCAGCTTCGTAGCCTCATGCCCTGCATTCAGGAGCTCGAAAAAAAGGCAGGGAGTACAATGAAGCAATGAAATCTGACACCTAGCAAACATTGAACATACCTGATGAGAAACTTTGTGTTATGTGTTTATGCAGCAATTTCGTTACCTTTGCTGGCATTCGGACTGAAAGCGTGAGATGTTTTGGGGATGATTTTTACAGTGTGATTGCGAATGCCAGACGGTAGCCTCTAAATTTTGTTTTGTCAATTTATACCCCTTTTTATGAAATCTTTGCAAAAACATCTTGCTCCATCTATCTCTGCTTCATAGCTGCTTCATAGTTGGAGACATCGTGCGTGATCAAACTCTCCAAGAACGCTGATGTGAAATTGACGAGGAGGTACTGACAAGAAGAATTCTTCCGTGCAATCATGTGTGCGGGTAGGGGACAACACGGTACTCACTAGGGTCGTGGAAGGGGAGGGAGGGAAGAGGGGGAAGGGGGAAGGGAATTAGTGGAAGGAGAGGAGAGAAGGGGGAAGGGAGAGGGGGGTGGGGAGAGGGGAGAGAGAAGAGAGGAGGGGGGGAGGGGGGGAAGAGGAAAAGAGGAAAGAAAGCTGCTGCAATGAAAATGGCAAAGATTAGGGGATGGACCAACGACCTTGACCTTGACTTCTCCTTGAAAGCAGTATTCGATAGGGCGATGGCAGATTTGCGCAGCGGCAACTTAAAGAGGTGGAGGAGGGAGGCAGAGGAAAGCAAGTTCCTTAATTATTTTTTCACTTGATTGCCTCATTGTATGCTTTATGGCTTTATCAGGTAGACATTAAAATAGAGAAGCCTATCCCACCTCGAACAGGAGAGAAGCTCGGTGCCATGTATGAGTATGCATGTAGGTATGAATCAAGTAGAAAGATCTCGAAGCTCCTGCAAGCTCTCTACGTAGCTGGACACCTTGCCAGAAGCCTGACCTTTTGCACTCCTGACTAGAGACACATGAAGATGAAGGAAAGAGCACAGAAGCAGCTGATCGAGATCTGAGGGCCATGGCAGACAGTCAGCAGAGGTCACGACTAATACGTGTCTCGAATGTTGTCGAGCCTAACGATGCGTTGCTGATACGAGACTAGTACGCCATCCACTACGAGGCAAATCAGAACTCTATGACTGAGATGTGGGAATCAGATTGCAAGCCTCTCCTCCGCCCCTGTTGATGCACTTGTGCATGATTTGCAGACGTGCTGCTACACACCATGAACTAACAAGGGCACTCCTGAGAAGAGATAGTTGATACTGACATGCAGGTTTCTTTACCTCTTTCGTGCCCATCACTGGTATGGCACGTGTCTCAGCGACGAACTCGACGCACAAGATCAATTTCAACCATCTTGTCCACTCATGTGTTGGATGTGGCTATTCAAAGACCATGCAGTACACGTCGAAATCATCTTCACAACTGCAAGGCAGATATTCTGACAGTTCTAACTAGCAAAGTCTTGCAAGCGCAATCTTTCAAGGCAACTGATAGCGTGCAATAAAACTCTCTTCTTCTGTCACTTCCTCTCAACACGTGCCCACTGCTCCTCTAATGCTCTCGCGGCGCAAGGACAACATTCATCCGTCACTGTCGTATCCGCTTGGCAGCCTCCTTAGACAGGGTCAGGATAAACTGAGTGATTCTCCTCATTTCGCTCTCCTGCTCCTTGCTTGTCTCAACTCCATCAGAGGTGTAGTCTTGGTCTTGATTCCAGGTCCACCATTCATCATGCCCTGCAGGCACAACAAACACAATAGATACCCTCTCAAACTTGTTCTTATCTCGCAGAGCTTTCAACGTGTCAAGTAATGGATGGAGCTTGATCAAGTGATTCGGCGCCCGTGTCATCTGAAACATGTACAGCACACCGCTCTCTGACAAGCATAACGCATTGCAAGGCAAGTTTGGTGCCTTGGGCTCGTAATATCCATTCGGTGTGATCTCGAGCTCTTTCAAGTCTCTGCATCTTGATGGAAACTCAACGTAATGCGATCGCTCTAAGTTCAGCTCTTCCCACGCACTTCGATCACCAAGCCTATGAATTATGTGTTTTCCTCCTCGCTTCAGCACCTCGCGCGCAACGAATTCAAAAGCCGAATCTGCAAGTGACTGATTGCCAAAATCAGGATTCAAAAAACGCAAACTCAACAACATCAAAATCATTTTCACAAGCCATTTGATGATTACCGTTTTGTACTCAAGGTCGGGGGGATGATCAATCAGCTTGGAGGTCGATTCCGCTTCCGTCTTCCACTTGGGTGGTGACATTGAACCTACTCCCACAACAGACTCCTCTAGTGTTGGTATAGGTTTCACCAAGATGTATCGAGGCACATTGCCCCACTCCTCTATGATCTGCTCTGCTTCCTCCAGGTCAACACGATCCCCGTGCATACTGATGAAGAGTGACATCTCCTCGTCTGACCACAACGGCAACAAATATCGCTGCGCTCCTCGATTCAAAATATCTTCAAACATCTCTGTCTTGGGAGCAGAAATCAGGATGGTCTTTGCGAATTGTGATCTGACAAAGTTCCCCGCGTCTTGGTTTTCCAGGTCACAGATATACCAGTGTCTGAACGTTCGAATAAAGCGACGCGCCGCAGATTGATCTTCGATCAAGCTCCATGCTTCTCCATCAAAGTACCAATATTCACTCCCTATCTGATACACTAGTTGCTCACCAGGCCGCAGAAGCTGCACAAGTAAGAAGTATGCGAAGCAGGACTTCCCGATCCCTGGAGTACCTGTGAGGATCACTTGATGACCTCTCTGTATGGACTCCTCGTCCTTGAGGGTCTCGGGGTCCAACCTGAATTCCATGGCAATCCGCTCCATCATCTCCAAGTAGCTCTCGCGTATGAAGAGCTTGCGTCCAAGTTGCTCGTGGCCTCCCAAGCATGTAGAGAAGCTGATGTACTGTTTAGGCAACAAAGTCTTGCCTGAGCATGCTCTACTCCAGAGCTCTTGCAAGAAACTTAGCATTCCACCTATCAGTCCTTTTAGTACCCATGCTCATGATATTTCAAGCCTCCTTCACCTTCAGGTCTGGAAGTTTCGGGAATCTGTGCCAGTGTAGGTGAACTTTGCAGGATAAGAATGTTACAAAGCTTCTCTCGCTTCAGTATAAGCTGCTTCTCGTCATCTACAAGCCGCCTTTTGTCCTCTTCAAGCCGCTTCTCGTCCCCTACAAGCTGCTTCTTGTGATCTTTAAGCTCATTTAGAAGCGTCCAAAGCCCATCCTTCTTCGTAGAGTTTTGTTGATCTTGTATCTGCCTCAATGCATCCTCGATCTCTCCGTGTACACCTTCGATCTGTACTTGTACGCCTCTGATCTCTTGCTGTACACTCTCAATCTTTGCTTGCACACCCTCGACCTCGAGGCGTGTATCTTTGATCTCTTGTTGTATACCTTTGATGGTTCCTTGCACCATCATCCATGCAGACCTCTGAGTCCCAGGGTGCTCAGCCTCAGCAGAGGCCCCGGAGCTGAGGATCTCCACCGAAGCTGTCTTGGACGGGGGGTTCGGACCTTGCTTCACATCTGGCCTCTCCTTGTCAGGCCCTGGGGGGCAGCGCGCAGGTCAGGCTCCCAACAAGAGATTCAATCTCGCAGTTGGCAACGGCAGCACAATGGGGATCGAGAGTGCCAGCAAAGCGGATACACCTCACCTTGTCCGTCGGCGTCTTGTGAGGCCCTGAGCTTCTTGCTGCTCCGCTCTATGGCCTCTTCTTCCTCCCTGGCATCCCCTCCTCGTACGCGCAAGCAGCAGCTCCCCACAGCCATCCTCGGATTGTAGACCACACAACGCCCAGGATATGGAAACGACGCTCCCTGTCACAAGCGCAGGTCAGAGAAAGCTTCCCTCCAACGCTCAGGTCGCTCCTCACCATGGCGCTGGAGATGAGGAAGCAGCTCAAGCATATCAAGCCAGCAGCGCTGCGCACAGCCCTCGCTCCTCTCCCTCTCGCTTCTCTCTGCGGGCTGCGCATCTTGACCTCAGCCAGCCTTGCCGACCTGACAATCTGCCGTTAGAGCGGCTGGGGGACCCGGTAGACAAAAGCTGGTAAGGGAAATAAACGTTAGACGCCGTAGGCTCGTCGGAGGGGTTATTACTCGACTATCCACGAATGGCGCGACGGAGAGGGGTGGACTTGAAGCTGGGCAACAACATGTATGTTTCAAGCAACGGAGAGACGAATGTCCGTATGATCAGAACCTGTAACGAATCGTCAAGGACCACATGGCGTCTGTGAGCTGCGAGTGCCATGATCTTGTCAGCGATGAACGCCATCATCGAAGACGCATGAGGGACATGAAGGGTGTAAGTATCGAGTTCATCAGCTTGCACGGCAGCCTGGACAGAGGAGCATGAGACGGTTCACTTCAAAGTAGTGAGATCCCTCAGTCCTCCAACGTGGTAAGGGTCTAGAACCAACAAAGAGAGCAGCAGACGTGGGCTAGACAACTGATTTCATCAAAAAGACCATGAAGAAAAAGAGTCATCAAAGCCCTTGAGTAATGTGTGTGCGCCGCTTGTTGCCAAACTTCAGATCCTGTGGGCTGTGATGGCGACGGGATGCAGCAAACATTCATTAGTCGCACGTAGTTATCACATTGACCTTGTACGCTACTTGATTTCACTCTTCTCTTTCTAGTCCCGCACCTGACCTCAAGGGACGGATGAAGACACATGGTTGCAGTGTACGATGACAACATCCAACGTCCTGCTCGTCAATCGAAACCTTCTAGAGCTTGTGCGCAGTTGCTCGCGCCCTCTGGTGCTGGTGGATCTGTGTGCCGGGAAGCATCAGATGCCATGAGAATACGATCGCGTGTCGGCGCTCAGACGGACATGACATAGTGATTGACAACATTCTTTTACCCATCCACTGCCATGAGACTAGAATCTTCGTCCCAACATCAAAACATCGTTCCGAGACATGTGTATTGGTACTTCATCCTCGCTAGCGAGCTGAGCTGCCCTCGGTTCTTTCCTTGTACTCTCAGATGTGAGAGCATACTCGAGCCCGCGAGGGTACAGAAATCAGGATGTCGCCCGTGCTGAAACCTCCAAGAAACCGTGAAGACAACTCCGAGCTCGCAGAAGCCAGCTGCTGGGAGCTCCAGCCAAGAGCTATGGCATGTAGGAGCTCGTGAGGCTCCCTCGGAACAAAGTGACCTGCCTCGAGGAGCAAGCTCTGCGTTTGCTCGTCTTTACTCAACCATCCTTACAAGTTTACAGGCAAAGAGCAGCCTACCCCGACGGCTTGCGAGACTAGTACTCACTTCGACAGATTCAAACATCAAGAGGCTGCCCTTCAATATCTCCGCGCTACTCTCCATGCCAACCCCGTGCATCGTCCATCTCCTCCTGTATCTCCCTCCCTCATCATCATCGCCTGAGGCTCCCTTGATCACGCAGGTGAGTGTCCATACTCGCTACCTCTGCTCCTGCTCCTTCCCTCCCCCCCATTCCGTACTCCTCCAGCGCCCCACTGCCCTTGACTCCGCTAATCTGAAAGTCCTGGAGCGTGTCCTGTACAAACGGATGGCGAGCCCCATGCACTGAGAGCCTCACCTCCTACCAGTCTGCCTCTACCCTGAGAGCAGCCTCCTCAACCAGTCTGCCTCTACCCTGCGAGCAGCCTCCTCAACCAGTCTGCCTCTACCCATTCCGCAAGCGTCGTCGAGACGTATTTGCTCACAGGCTTCCAGCTCAATAGCCCCTTATACTCTAAGCTCGCCTTCAAGCAGTTTACAGCCAGCAGTGATGAGAAGCCCATGTGGCCTTGCAAGAGCATGTCTAGGCCTGCACAGCAATCGATAGCTAGATCCAGGCTTTCCTCACCTCTGCTGCTGTCCTACCGAACATTCACCGACATGAGCCCCCAGCCAGATAGTACTTCAGCTTGATCTTGTCTTCTCTAGTCCGTTTCCCCTTCCGTTATGGAGTGATCTTCAAGTCTATGCTTGCCGCACTTGCATCCTCCTCCAGCATGGGTGCTACATTCTGATAGACAGACCCTCTCCTCTGCTTTGAGGTACTCATTCTATCTGCCCTGCGATTTTCCATTCCTTCCCTCCCTCCCTCCCTCCCTCCCTCCCTCCCTCCCTCCCTCCCTCATCGACACATTCCTTGGTCTCCCTCCCTCCCCTCCCTCCCCTCCCTTCTTCTTCCTGTTGCTGTCACGGTGTGTTAGTCTTTCAATCTGCATCGCTATCTCCGACTCTCGTCCCTCCCTCACGCCTCCTCCTCACTCACACCCTTCCTCCCTTCCTCCCGTCCTCCCTCTTCTTCTCTCTCTGTCCATCTCCCTCTCCCTCTCCCTCCCTTCCTCCCTCTCCTTCTCTCGCCCCCACTCGCCTCCCTAAGGCATTCCAGCAGGAGTCTGCCTCGCTAAAGCGGGATCCCCTTGTCTTTGATTTAGGTAGGGGGTGGTATATCACCGGTCATTTCCTTATGCTCATTCAGTCATCAAGTGGGGTAGGACATCAATGACTAGGGTGGTCTTTTTGACGCTATGTTGGATGTTGGGAATCAATGGGTACGAGGGAGGGAGCAGGGAGCAGGTGAGGAGCGGGTAAGGGAGGAAGAGGAGGTCATAGACGGAGCGAGTACATAGAGCAAGTCACGAGGGCTCGATGAGGAGGAGAGTCTTTACCGCACTTTTCTCTCTGAAAACGATGAGGGGTGGGATCGAAGTGGAGTAGACGAAGAGAGAGAGGAGGGCATTCGATCGCTCTGCTCCGAACAAGTGCAAACAAGACCAGGAGCAAGTGACCTGATACACACGAGCATCCATCACAGCAGATGCTAGAGAACTCTTCTCCTCCAAGGGTCGACGAGGCTGAGATGACTCCTGCGTCCTGGATGCTAATCCGGAAGCATGCTCTGGAAGTGGAGACAGTGATGAGGATGAACTCTCGGTTCGCCTCCAAGAGCCAAGGCAGCGAGCACAAGCTGTTGGAGGACTTCGATGCTCTGAGATCGCGAGGGGAGATGCCCCTCGTCAAGGAAATCCCTTCCATCGTCTTCCCCTTCCTGGAAACCATATCGTCTCCTGAGACCACTGGCCCTATGACGCGGGCAGCCCTTGAGGCCTGCGAGTGCTTTGTGGAGAATCGCATAGTCTCCAAGGTGAAAGACATCCAGGTGGTGATAGAGGCGGCGCTAGCATGCAAGTTCGAGCAGAGCGACTCTGTGGAGGACGAGATCGTAATTAGCAAGATGTTCAGAGTGCTGACATGCGCAATGGAGATGAGGGAGGCAGTGCAACTGAAAGGCTCTCTGATCCTGGAGATCACGGAGACGCTCCTGCGAGTGACGGGGGAGAGCAGGTTCTCGGAGATGCTGCGCAATCAAGCTGAGAGCGCGTTTACGCGCATCATGAAGGTCCTGGTACTGAGGTTGCCGAGGCACCTCTCGTCCAGTACATGGCGGAGCGAGTGCCGGGCTAGCAGGACCGACGACATCTCCTGCAGCGGGGGAGACGAGCACGAGGCTGCGCAGAGAGCTCTGACGAGCATGCCGTCGGTAGTGACCTGGTATGGACGACCAAGCTCCCACACTGTGAATCTGATCAGCATCACGACGTTCACGCACTATCACGTGGACCCTGTGAACAACGAAGAGCTTCTGTGCAAGGTGTGTTGCTGTGTATGGAGGGTGTGAGAGAGTGAAGTCTCGATCAAGATCTTCGAGATCCTTGCGGAGCTCATCGACCCCAAGAGCCGGACTGATGCCAAGCTGCGGCCTGCGGCCATGTGCGTGATCCACGATGGTGAGAGCAGAGAGCATGCGTGTGATTGCGATGACGATGACATTGCGTGTTTGCTCTGCAGGTCTGCATGCTTCGGGAAATGTCTTGGCGAACTATGACAAGATTCTAGCAGGAAAGTAGCTGCATCCCTGTTGTTGTTGATGGTGATCGGCATGATATCCCCAGGGTTTTCGTCCCACCTGATACCTTCACTTGTCCATACCCTCTTGGATCATTCGGTCGGCTCCAAAAATTTTCTCCTGGGTAACTGAGAGACTGCATCGAACGAGCTTGACCGCTTCCTGCAGCCCTCAACGTCGTGCAAGCGCTGTTCATGTATCTTCGTGACGGGCTATTCTATGAACTAGAGATCATCTTCTGCCGCGTCCATATCGGCCTGCTTGAAGAGAAGCTGCTGTCGGAGCAGAACGTCGTCATCTTGCTGGAGGCCATCGCCGATCTCTGTCTGATGAGGTGAGGACATGCGTCTTTGTTCGGTGGCTCCTCACCCCCTGCCCTCAAGGAACTTCATGTCAGATCTTTACGTCAACTACGATTGTTCCCTGTCTAGTCAGAACCTCTACGAGAGGCTGGTGAAGCTGTTATGCAAGCAGGCGTTCCCTGTCAGCGGGGTGTTACACCATTCCCACACCATCGCCTTCCGCTGCCTGGTCGCCATGTTGGAAGACATGAAGCGAAGGAGCAAGCAGCGGAACAGGCTCAAGTTTGAGAATGGCGTCGACAGGTCGGAGATCCTAGGCCAGGCCAACAAGTTCACCAAACAGAAGCTCATCAAACGAAGATACTCGATCGCTGCAGGTTGGCTCCTCTCATTCCTCCGCTCTCCTCGGACTCCCATTCAACTCCTCTGAATGCTTTTGTGGAGCAGAGAGTTTCAATCGAGATTGCGCAAAAGGGATTGAGGTGCTGCGGAGCTACGAGCTGCTTCATGTACGCTGCTCGACCCGACTCCCTCTCGTGCACTCCTCCAGGCCTCTGCTCTCCTTCACTCCCTGCCTGCTCTTCTTCCTCTCTCGCCTCCATATTCCTCCTCCTTCCAGCATTCTTCACTCTATCTCCCACCCCGCGTCACGCTAACCATCTCCTGCGTACACAGGAAGAGACAGCTGCGAGGGACGTCGCTCAATTCTTCAAGGTCTGCCCGATCCTCCTCCTCGACTTGCTGATCCTTCCCGACAGGTCGGACAAGCTGTGGGGCTCAACAAACGAGTCATCGGAGACTTCATCGGGGAGCGGCAGGACTTTCACGAGCGGGTGCTGAGGGAGTACGCTGGCCTGTTTCGCTTCCATGCTCTTCCTGTCGTGGACGCCCTCAGGCTCTTCTTAGAGACTTTCCTTCTCCCCGGCGAGAGCCAAAAGATTGACCGCATCACCGAGGCCTTCGCACGGACTTACTACGAGCAGCAGCAGGAGGAGGAGCAGGAGGGGAGCAGGGACAGGAGCGTGTTCTTCTCATGGGACGCCGTCCACATCCTCACCTTCTCGATCATCATGCTCAACACGGACTTGCACAGCCCGCAGGTCAAGAAGAGAATGACGCTCGAGGAGTTCGTCAAGAACAACCGGGGGATCAACGAGGACAAAGCGCGGGGGGTGAAGGAAGACCTGCCTCGCAGCATGCTGGAGCAGGTCTTCCACTCTATCGCGACTGATGAGATCAGGATCGAACTCAAGTCTCACACCCACACCCTCCACAACTCGCTCCTGCATGCCGTCTTCCTGTCGGCCACCGAGAGCTCCCTGAGGAGGGCGAGCATTCGTGCTGACCGCATGTCTTTCTCTCACGTGGGGAACTACGGGCTCCACGACGAGGAAATGCTCATGTCCAGTTGCGGTCCAGCTGTTGCTGCCGTCTCCGTGGTGCTGGATGCGTCAGGGTCAGTGGCTGAAGTGGAGATGGCGCTGAAGGTGAGTCTTCCGCTCCTCCTCTACCACAACCTCCTCCTCCTCTTCCTCCTCGTTGCAGCAAGCTGAGAAGAGGGGCAGGGCACGCGGTGCTGCGCAGAGATGCTCTCGTCGTTCGGAATGCAGGAGGGACTTGACAACCTGCTTGTCAACTTGAGCAGGCAGACACTGCTGACCTCGACCTCCTCCTTCTCCTTGGTCTCCGCGACGGTTCAGTTTGGGAGGTGAGCGATGGCGAAGAGGAGGATGGGGGTGGGAGAGGAGGGCAGTGAGAAGTAAAAGGTTAGCATTGGAGGAGGGCCATGGAATCTCGAAAATTCAGACGGACGGAGTGTTGAAGCAGGGGCAGGGGCAGTGGGAGGAGCAGGGGCAGGGGCAGGGGCAGGGGCAGGGGCAGGGGCAGGGGCAGGAGCAGGGGCAGGAGCAGGGGCAGGGGCAGGAGCAAGAGCAGGTGGAAGAACAGGGGCAGGGGCAGGGGAAGGGCAGGGGCAGATGCAGGAGGAGACCTGTACGAGAGGCATACAAGTGACATCAGCCTCACATGGCTGCGCGCAGGTCGTGGAAGGCACAGAAAGCTCTAGAGCACCTGGTGGGCATCGCGACAGCGTGTGGGGATCAGCTGAGAAGAGCCTGGCACCACGTGCTGGACTGTATCATGACGCTCCTCTGCACTGGGGTACTCAAGATCTCCTTCTACAAGCCCGCAGCCACCAGCGAGGAGGAGGAGGCTGCGGGCCCAGCGAGGCTGAGGGAGGGGCAGGACGATGGGGAGGGCGGCATGGCGAACTGGCTTCCTGCGGGATGGGGGAGAATCTCACAGTGGCTGGGGTCAGAGAAGGAGAGGACAAGGAGCATGGAGCAAGAGGCTTTCCGCAAGGGTATCGACCTCCTCGTCAGGCTCCTCCTCCCTTCCTGCCTTATCCCCTCCTTCTTCCTTGGGGACAGAAATCCCTAATTGTTCGTCCTCCTCCTCGTCGCCTGGACAGCGTGTTCAAGCTTCCTAGCCCTCCCCTCCCTCCTTTTCTTCTCTTTTCCCTTCCCTCCCCTCCTCTCCCTCCATTCTTTTCCTTATCTCGCTCTCACACTCCCCTCCTCTTCCTCCCTCCCTCCCTCCCTCACCTTCCCTTGACTTGTCCTTTCTTCCACCTCTCACTCTCACTGCAGCGCGGGAGGCGACGGCTCGTTGTGACATCCAGCATCTTGTGGCGGAGCTTCGCTTCATGTCTCTCGATGCTCTCAAGGCCGTCCTCTGCGCCCTCGCTCCGATCGCGCTAACACGCGCAGAGATTGTATCCTCTCGTCCTTCGTGATCTCAACTCCTCCTCCTTTCCTCTAATACCTTGCTTCTTCCTTGCTCTTTCCTGCTTCCTGCTTCCTGCTTCCTCCTAATTCCCATCTTCCTCCCTCTCCTCTTTCTCCTGCTTCCATGGCCCACCTCCTCCCTCCTTCCTCCTCCCTCTTCCCTCCTGATCGACCTGTGCAGACGGACGCTGAGGACGAGAAGCGGCTGAACTCTCCTGCCAACCTGCATGCAGTCTCAACGAGCTGCGCACAAGAACGGCAGCTGCTCTCTCTCGAGCTCGCGCTCTCCCTTGCCCTGCAGAACCGCGACAGGATCGAGAGCATCTGGAAGATCCTCTTCGAGCTCGTCTGCGGCATCGTGTTGGGCGGTGAGCTGCTGCCCATTGCGTTTCTCAGCTCCACTCTGACATCCTTGTCTTCCCGCCTGCCCTCCCAGAGAGAAGGAACGGAGTCCCTGATGACGTGTACCTGCGGGCCGTCTCTGGTCTGTTCCAGATTGGGAGTCGGTCAATGCACAAGGTCGTCTCCTGCTAGCCTGCTCGTTTCCGTGCTTCCTCCTCCTCTCCATTGCTATCGCTCACGTTTATAACCGCCTGCCTCACCCATCTCCTACACCTCCACTACCACGACCTCCTCCTCCTTCCTCCTCCTCCCCTCTCAGCCTCCTCCTCCACCACCTCCAGCAGCACCACAACCAACATCACCTCCCCCTCCTTCTCCCTCCTCCCTCCTCCCTCCTCCCTCCTCCACCTCCCTCCACCTCCTTCCTCTCCTCCTTTCCAGGTTGTCTGACTGCCCTACTTCAGGGGGGCGGACTTATTCAAGACTGCATCTACGAGTTCATATGGAAGCTGATCGAGCTAGACGATGCTTCATGTGGGTCAGAAAGGCGGGAGGACGAGGACGAGGACGAGGACGAGGATGAGGACGAGGATGAGGACGAGGAGGGTCAGGAAATGCAAAAGCAGAAGGAAGGGGTGGGAAGGACGAGGACGAGGACGAGTAGGAAAAAAAGGGGAAGGGGGAGGGAAGGGAAGGGGAGGGGAGGAAAGGAGAGAAGGGGGGAGGGATTATCAGGGGTTTTAGAGACAAGGAGGACGAGGGAGACTGACGGGTCTGATGGCAGTCGAGACTGTCGCTCTCCACACCAACTCGCAGTTCTCCGAGCTGATCCAGGTCCCGTCGCTCCGTGCTCAAGTCCAGCTGACCGCTTCCCAGCTCAACATGGACCTGATCCGATGGGGGCACCTGTGCGAAGCAGCTCTGGCGTACCTCGAGGTTCCCTGCCCCAGCTGTCCCTGTTCTTGTGACGCGTTTTTGGAAGAGGATGGAGCGGATTGAAGCATGTACCGACCAAGCTCTAGAGCTACTCTCCTTCATCCTCCTCGACAAATCGACCATGCGGCGCAAGAATTTTCTCCTTTGCACAGAGGTGCCTCCCCCTCCCCCTCCCCCTTCCTCCAACCTCAACCTTCGTTCACTCTTCTCTCCCTCATCATCATCTTCATCATCGTCCTCATCAATCGTTTGTTCCTCCTCCTCCTGTCCTCCCGCTCCATCCCGCGCTCACCTCCTCCCGTTGTTCCCCCTTCACTCTCCTCTTACCTCCATCACGTGCTCATTCAATTGTGCAGACGGCCTATGAATTCGCTTTGACTGGCAAGAATGAGCGAAGTTCGCGCAAGGTGAGAGGAGGAGGAGGAGGAGGAGGAGGAGGAGGAGGAGGAGGAGGAGGAGGAGGAGGAGGAGAGTCATTTATACTTTTGTTGCTAGGCCATCGACTACCTCTATGCCCTGCACCTTCGACTATCAGCTTGGGAGCGCGGGAAGGTCGTTGGAAGGGGCAGGATAGGGTGGAGAGAAGGGTGGAAAGAAGGGGGAAAAGGAACAAGGGGAGGGGTGGTAGAAGGAAGCAGGATGGAAGGGCGAGAGGAGACAAGGAGGCAAGTCTGTGAGCGTCTGCTGCAGGACCGGAACAAGGAGGAGGAGGAGGGCTTTGACCTATGGGTACACGTAGCTAGCGTGCTATGTGACCTGTCGCTGGTATCGCAGGCCTCCCCTCCCTTGTTCGTCCTCCTAACGAACCTGCCGCAGCATCCCAAGGCAAGCAAAGACCGCAGGGAGTACGCCATGCTCTCGCTAGAACGGTCACTCCTCCTCGTTGCTGTTGGACAGGTGTCCCTGACGCAGTAGAGCAGAGCCGTCATGTCTTCCTTCCTCTCTTCTCTTCCTGAGGCCGCATGGGAGGCATGCTTCGAGAAGGTTGTAGAGCAGTAGGAGGAAGAGGAGGAGGAGGAGGAGCAGCAGCAGCAGCATCAGCAGCTGAACATTCCGCAGGTGTTGTGGCGTCTGCTCAGGAGCTTCTTCACCAACGTGGGGAACCTGCTCGACGAGCGTCAAGGATCTCATGCTGTGACGCAGGCGGTTGAGGCGAACCCTGTCCAGCAGGAGAAGAGCAGGCTCAGAGGATGGCTGCTGCTGTGCTCCGTCCTCTTGCAGCACCTCCGGCCTCTGACGCAGCTGGGCTGCTTCGACAAGGTCAGCCCGCTTCTCCCAGTGCCAGCTAGTCCTCTGCTAACTCCCCAGCTGGTGGCCACCAGGTGTGGCTGGGGTTTCTGGACGTGACCGAGGAGTACCTTGTCAAGCATCCTTCCCAGCTTGCGCTCGAATGCGTCCCCCAGCACCTCAACGCCATCCTGGAGGTGCTCGAGGCTGACATCGACTTCTGGAGTGGCCGCGAAGAGCTCTGGAGCAACACCTGGGCCCGTGAGCTCTGCTGGACTCGAGCTGGGCGGGTACTAACCCCCCCCCGTCTGACAGGCCTCAACAACTTCTGCCCTCAGCTCCTCCATCTTAGGACGTCAGACAAGGCGGAGCAGGTTGCTCATACCGGTGGCGCTGGCACCGACGGAGAGGAGGAGGGGAGGGAAACAGGTCTGCCAGTAGCGGGTGCGAAGGAGCAGGAGCCGAGAGCACAAGAGGTGGGCGAGGCCCTTGCGGGGTAGGGAGAGACTCGGGGAGTCGCTCTATCATATTCTTTTATATCAAACGCTGCCAGTCACGGTCCCGTGGCATCCTTCTGGAACCTTAGTCCGAGCCCGCTGATTCACTGCCACGGTGCAGCCGCTTCAAGTCACAGTGAGGCTCAGTGACTCGCCGAGCAACTTTGATGATACTAGCCACTGCCCCGACTGTACTGCAGGTCCGAAGTTAGTGACCCGGGAGACTCGCAGCCGCTGGCCGCGGCCGGGCGGCCGGGCGGCGGCACCCGCCAGACTCAGCTTCGGCGGCTGAGTAACTCCGTGCTGAGGGCCCGGCCCGCCGCCCGGCGGCCCGGCCGCGGCCCGGACCGTTCCGAAGTTCCGGACCGGCGATGTGAACATAAGAACGGTTATAAATTCGTTACAGTGCTGTCTCCCCGCCGCAAATAGAGCGAAACTCGCATGGGGAAATGAGAGGGTGAAGGAGCCAGAAACTCCCTCCTTCCTCCTCCTCCTCACTCCTGGTCCTCCTCTTGTCCTCCTCTTTACTCCTGGTCCTCCTCCCGTCCTCCTCCTCACCCTTCGCTCGCTCTTGATCCCTGTCCGGTCCTCTCCTTCCTTGTTTTGCCCTCTTTCTCGCAACCCTTCCTTGCCTCCTGCCCCTGTTCTCACCTTCCCTTCTTTCTGAGCTCCAAGTGACCATGGCCTATCTTTAGAGAGCTGTTCCTGCCGTCAAGACTCAAACATCGCTATTTGATGTTTGTTCTAGCTGCAAGTAAACCGTCTTGAGGACCTGTCTACTTCTGCCATGATGCCTCAGCCCGGCAGGGCAGAGGTGTCAAGGTACGCGGACACAGGCCATACAGCAAACGCTCCGGAGGATGGTCCAAGGACGTCCGAAGGAGCTTTCGTTGTCTATCAAACACGCGGTGGATATCATGGAGTGTACGACTTGCTTGTGATGAATGCCAGTCGTCGTCAGAGCCATCGAGCATTGTCCAGACTCGGTTCGCTAGTGATCCTGATGGTATTCTTGATAGCCGCCGTGCTATTGATTAAGTCAGACGGTGTGGAGAACATGTCAGCACTCGTTCCAGCATCGTCTCCTCTGCATCACAGAGCTGTCAAGGCTGTTGACTCGCTCCACGCCTTGAGGGGTGTAAACGATGTGCCCTCAGGGCCTGCGGGAAGCGGATTGGCAATGCAGGAAGCGCAGGGCAAGGCTGCTCTAGATGAGCTGAAGGAGCTCAATTTAGTTCCAGGAAAGAGATCGACTTCGTTATGGGACTTTCCGGAAATCAAGCGCTACCAGGTACAGACGAGCAGAGCCAACTTCTGGGACAACATGAAGAAACTTGAGGACAAGCATGCCTACAGCTTGGAATGGCCGAATGTTGCTAGCGCTGACTTCAAGTGGCCAAGTCCTGAGGATGGGGATGAGTCATCGACGAGTGAGCACCTGGTGAAGGCAGGAGGCTTGCTGCGACGAGGCGACATTATGCCAGTGACCCGGCCGTACATCCAGTGGTCGTCGTCGTGCTCTATCTCCTTCTGTCCTCTGGACACACCTCAGAAGGAAAGGGCGTATGCCTGGCGTTACTGCATGAATCACTTCTACACGAATGCAGAGAAGAGATATTGCTTTCAAGCAGTCCTGTCTCCTCCTAAGCCGAAGCCCTCTTGCGAGCCCTTCGCAGATCCCGAGCATGGTCGAGTGTTGATACCTCCTGGGTCTCGAGACTCTTACAACGTACATCGAGTGCGAGCTGGCTACGGTGTCGTCATTGTTTGCGATGAAGGATACGAAGTCAAAGGTGATGCTAAGCCGAAATGTAAGGAAGATGGCAGCTTCACTGAGCAAGGCATCTGCGTTCCGGTGTCGTGTGGCAAGTATCCCGCTCCCCTTCACGGCACTGTCAGCCCGACGACAGCCATCCAGTACCCAGATGTCGTCAAGGTCGCTTGTGATGATGGATACTACTTGGAAGGAGATGAAGTCATTCGATGCTCCAAGGATGGGAAGTTTGATGGAAGTGCTCGCTGCTCCCCAGTCGTTTGCCCTCCTTTCCCCCCTGTAGAGCATGGGAAGGTGGTGCCTTCTGGTGAGACGGAAGCAGGAGACAAGGTTTCGATCGTGTGCGATGAGGGGTATGAAGTGCAAGACGTCAACTCTAAGGATGTCGTTTGTGGGAAGGATGGACATTACTTGAGCACTGGGACCACTTGTGTTCCGATCGTTTGTCCTCCTTACAGTTTTCCTGCTCACTCGTCGGGCAAACCAGCTGGAGAGAAGCGAGTGGGAGAGACCGTTGAAGGGGAATGTGATAACGGTTATGAAGCCTTTGCTGTTCCAGAGGAGAGCAAAGGGGCAACAGGTTCGAGCTCGGCTGATCGAAGTTTGGGGAAAGAGTTCACTGTGGAATGTGGACAAGACAAGAATTATCATCCTGCAGTTGTGTGCTCGGCCTATTGCGATCCTTTTGTCAACGTCGTCCATGGAAAGGCGACGCCTCAACGGAGGATGCGGAAAGACGAGAAGGTGACGATAAAGTGCGATGACGGCTATCAGCTACCGGATGGCGTGGATGGGGAAGTAGTTTGCGAGGCTGGGAACCAGTACAATCCCTCCAGTGTTACCTGTCAGAAGATTCCCTCTTGTCCCCCGTACCCTGTTCCTGACCACGGGCACGTCAGCCCTGAAGGTTCTCGATCCAAGGTTGGGGATCAAGTCGACATTGTCTGCGACCCTGGGTACAAGCTGGGGCCTGGTTATAGCGGTAAGGCGATCTGCGAGCCAGATGGGCAGTACGACCAGCCAGAGGCCGAATGCGTCAAGATCGAAGAGTGCCCTCCGTACCCGACTCCAGCTCATGGTCGAGCTTCTCCGCAGAAGATCATGCACGTGGGGGATCAGGTGAATATCGAGTGCGACGATGGTTACAGGTCCGTTCTTCTGCCTCGGGGTAGTTGCTCTGACCAGACGTACAGGCTGAGTCCCGAGAGCTCCTCCGTTGCAACGTGTATAGGTAGCACGTACAACTACCCATCAGCTGTCTGCCAGCCGCTCCCAATCTGCGGAGTCTTCGCTCCTCCCGAGCATGGCTCAGTCAAACCCGCAGGTGGGTCAAGGAGTAGTTGAGATGCTCTTGCCCTGACTGCACAAGCAGGGAATGTTTCTGAGGGCGGCTGCGTGAAAATCCAGTGCGATGATGGTTACGTGTTTGAAGCGGACGAGGAAGGCAGCGACCATCCGTGCTGCGAGAAAGACATCATCAGCGGTAAGCTAAAGGACCAGGGCCTTCATTTCCTCATCCCTTCCTCAGGCTCACTTGACTTTCAACCTGGGGGCCAATGCGTGCAACCAGATCAGGCATGCAGCATCTGCAGCGACATCACTGTTTGCCCTCACTGTTTCATCGGTGCGCTTCATCGTTGCTCTAAACGTCTCTCACTTGGAGCAGGTCGAAAGGAGTTCCCGGCCAAACGTCGAAGCTTTCACTTCGATTAGCATCATGTTCTTTGTGGATTATTCTTTTGAAGTGTAGCATTTGTATATCTGTTGTGTATAAAGGCAATCAAATGTATCCTTCTCATACGTTGAAATCGTGTTTACATGGATTATTGTGCAGAACGAACAAAGAGCAAATTGTTTGTTTTCACTTTAATGACACTACATAGAAAGAGATCTAGCTAGACAAAAGGCAATGGTATCTTCAAACCTGTCCCTCGTTCTGAGATGGAGCGTTGCCGGATGGCATGCTAGCATAATATCCGCCCGGTGCGTATGCGGTGCTCATGAGAGGCGCAGAAGTGATAGAAGGGACAGTCTGGGTGACGCCAGCGGTCACGTAGCGCTGAGAAAGGACAGTCTGGGTGACAGGGATCTGCTTGGGAACCTGGACAATTCTTGGCTCCTGCACAGTGATCACCTTCTCCTCCATGATGGTCTTGGGGCGCTGGACAGTGCGGGTGACAGTCTCGTAGACCTGGCGGGGGACCTCGATCTCACGGTCCTCCATCACGGTCTTGGGGACCTGGATAGTGCGGGTTTCGGTCTCCTGGATGATCTGGTCGACCATGACGGTGACGGGGACCAAAACGGTGCGAGGAACCATCTTGGTCTGGGGGACCTGGATGCGCTTGGGGACCTGGACCTGGATCTCCTTGTCCTCCATGACGCTCTTGGGGACCTGGATGGTGCGGGTCTCCATCTCGATCTTGGGGGTCTTGTAGACAACGTCGTGGTCCTCCATCACAGTCTTGGGGACCTGGACGGTCTTCTGGACAGACTCCATGTAGGTACGGGGCTCCTGGACAGTCTGGGTCTGGTAGACGAGCTGCTGGTAGGGGACAGTGGTGGTCTCGGGGACAACGTATCTGTCGATGACATCGGTACCACGCTGCTCAGAACCGTAGTAGGTGCCGGGGAAGGATCCGTAGATGCCAGGGTTGGTGCTGTAAAGTTCCGCCATGTCTATAACGTGCGCTGCCAAAGCAAAAGCCAGTTCAGTAAATCATGCCTCAAAGGAGAGATCAGGTGAATCAAGTAAGATGTGTCATATCAAGAACAGATGATTCACTGGAAACTATTGCATCGTGACATCTGTTCTAGAACAATATCATTTTCTTGATAGTGAGGTAGTTAGTGAGATTCGTGTAGCATCAGTTAGAGAATACACAGCTTCACGTGGACGAGATTTGCCAGTTCACTTTCATGAGGCGAAAACTAAACTAACAACTCACAAATGCATTAAGAATAAGAATCACAGAGTTGTCCTCCTTGAGGACATATATTGCTCTTTTGCGTTTGCCATCTACTGCACCAATCACCATCTCGAAATCTTTCAGCTGATGTCCTGACCTCGCAGTCTCCCTCAAACCTATTTTTTCCTCACTCGCTCCACATTTCATATCTTATGTTCAGATTTCTTCCAGTGAACCTCTCTACTCGCTTCCCTCATTTGCCCTGCTTCTGCCATCTCGCACTGCGCTCCATCTGATCTACTCACACCCTATCTAGCATCCTTCCTCCTCTGCATCTTCACGATCCGCGTGGCGGCCGACGGAAGCTTCCGCTGGACGTCCTCTCCCACACCCCCCTTCTCCCCATAACCCCTACCCCTAGCAACTCACCCCTACCCCCCTACCCCCTGGAGGATCTCACCACACACCCTTTACACTGCCTTGCATATGCCCCCCCTACTCTTCAATACCACCCCTTCCTTTTCTGGTAACCCTCTGTTTCCCCTCCATTACCCAGTACTATGTACCCCTACAACGTTCCAACACCTACCCCTCCTCTGCCCTTGTCTCCTCAAACTTTCATCTATGTCCTCGTAGGACCCAGCTCCAGTGACTTCCAGTACCCCTACCTCACCTTTTTACTTTCGCTCAAGGGCTAGTACCCTCATGCTATCCTGTGTAAGATGATACTACCCACCCCATTTGTTGTTCATCACCTTGACCCCTACCCCCATTTCTATATCATTTTAACCCTTCCTTATCCATAATAGTACCCCTGGGTCCATCTCGTGACCCTCATCATAATTTTACCGGTAGAAACTTGCTTATAAACAGGGGGGTTGGGTAGGGGGGGTTACGTTCAGGATTACCCTACCCCCCAAAACACATCACTGATGATCCTACTAGTCTCAAGCAACCCCTCCGCACGGTTACAAAAATCGCACAACCAACCCCACCAACCTTCTTGAGAGACCCCCCCATATTCCCTCTACGGCAGACCCCTCCCCTCTCTGATCCTTTACTATTGGACAGCTCGTAGGGGGGTGGTCGATGTTGATAAGAGCTTGAGAACCGTGAGGGCGGTAGGGATGCTCTGATTACCTACGGGCATAGTTGTACCTACCCTATATCATGAGAGGAGTTTCATGATAAATGGACCGGTGATGTGGACATTTTTTTCCACCCCCACCTACCTTTCCCCCACCCATGACCCGATGACCGTTATGCGCCCCCCTCGCCGAAAGATCCGTTTAGGCCTGACCCCAGAGGTATACCATGGGGTAGTAGCAGCATTAGATCAGGGTGGGGGTATACTCCTCGTTGCCGCCCCGGCAGCGCGCGCAATGTCCACGGTCACCAAGTGGGCATTACGGTATCCCTAGTATGAGCGGGTGGGGTGGGGTTTGCCCAGAGGTTCGCTCCAGCGGACTCTCCACCCCCAGCTTCATCGTACATTTGATGGGGTAGTCGCGCTGGGGAAGGCCAGAAAGTGGGGTTGGGAACAGTGCGTGTGGGGGTTATGAGCTTTTTGGGGGGTAGGGGTCATGCCTGCTATGCAGTAGGTCCCGTCGCTCTTCTCGCCAGTCACAAGAAAAATATCATCACTCATCCCCCTCATATCCACAGTGCCTCTGAGTCCGCGGGGCCGGGCCCTCAGTAACGCCGGAATACTATCAGTATGATACGCCCGGTCGCCGGGCCGGATGATCAGACAGCCGCCGGGTACCGTATTCATTGAAGTTTTCAGTGTCACTGTGCGGCTTCAATGAATACGGGGGCAGTTTTCAGTGTCACTGAAAGTATAATCGGATCGGTCATGATCCGGCCTGGCACAGCCGCCGTGTGAACCGGTACGGTCCGAGTCGGAGGCCACGGTCGCCGGGCCCTTCAAAGGCTTGAAACTTAGTTCGTGACGGCCGGCGTGGCAATCGTGGAAGTTAGATTGATGGTTGTTAAAAATCAGTACGAGGATCGGACAATCAGGAGAGGCGAGGATGGTTGCTAGTGTCATGGTATGGTACACTGTCAATGACTCAATGATCATACATCTTGCCACCGAAATGGTCCGACCCATTCCCAGTTTTGAACGGTAATAATATCCAGATCACTTGTCTAAAAGAAGTAGCAGTGAGTACATCAACAACACAAAAACTCATAGGACAAACATGATAAAATACCAGTCGTTCTCTTTCTTCTTGGTACAGGTGAAATCTTGTTTGTTCGTTTCGAGAAATTTGACCATGTGCTCAAGAATTCCGTGGCTTCCTCTTCTATCAGATCCATCGTCGCTCTCTGTCAAACATTATGTGTCTGTTACACTACAGAAATATGTATCAGAAGGTGAAAATGCCTTGATTTCATCCTCATCGACCCAAGCTTTCCTCATCTCTACCGTGTGGAACTCGTAACTTCGGTTCAACTGAGTCGCATGAGATCAACATGTGACTCCCTGCAGCGAGAAAGCTTCACCGGAGGTTGCAAACGCTTCAAAACGAGGGTGCAATTCGAGGAGTAAGGGTTCTTGTTCGCAATGACGAGGATTACTTCAGGAAGTGACAACCTGAGATTATGTTACCTGACATTGTAAACACAAGAATACATACTTGGTGCAATCTACCCCATCGACCGATACAATGATGTCTCCACATTTAACAGGACAAGAAGCATTGAAAGACACAGGCAACGATTTGATGCGGATTCCGTCTTGACATTCGCCATCCCAAGCCTCCTCAAGTTCCATTAGCTCCCTAGGATCCAGCTGTTTTGTAGCAAGTCACTTGAGTAGGTTTCCGAAAACAAATAAGTTCCAAGAAGTATTACATTGTTGGCTTCATCTTCAGTAGTGATGTCCCAAGAATTTTCACTGCATGCAAATTTGTAAAGTTGCCGCAATGTCACAGGATCGAGCTTGGAAATTTCTTCCATTAGCCGTTCTTTGCGATTTTCTTCATCACTAGCGCTGCCTCCTCTCAAATGCAGAAGTTTGGATTGGCTGCCATCTCTGTTTTCACTAACTAGTGAAGTTTTAAAACCCAGGCGTTCTGAAGAACAGATATTGGAGGCTGCGATCCATGAAACCAAACATAAAAAATTACCCCCCGAGCAGATAGTGCATGTTTTCATTTGATGTAGTGTCGATTTCTTCTTCGAACTCACTCAGATTCAGACACTTGACTCCTTGTTATCTCTATATCATCACTTCTCTGTCTCCTTACACTCCATACAATGGTCCTCCTCCCGCCGCTTCCTCCTCCACCTCCCGAAATCTCTGGGCATTCCAAGAAAAACCTTCGGCCGCATCCAATCATCACCCTCATTCTCTATCACGATTCTGGCTCGTGCTGGCTCAGTTTCCGGTACCACCGGGCCAGGCCCTAAGCCGGGGCCCGGCGGATGCAAGTCGACAATATAGAGGGTACTGGGTGGTCTTCCTAAGTTTTTTGGTCCTAGTAGAGGATATGACCTACCTACAAATCCTATGAGAGACAGGGTGAGGAGGGACGTGGGTGCGTGGGGGGTTATTTTGGCCTGGCAGGGTAAAGGCAAGGGCAAGCTCGTCCTGCGATGTTTTGGTGAGAAATGTGGGGTACTCCTGAAAAAGGGTGGGTAATGTGAACACAGGGGGTGATTTATGAAGTTAAAAGTAAGGGTACTTAATAATGGTGGGAAGCGGTACTCAGGAATAGAGAAGGGTAGGGGGTATGAAAAGTAATATTTGTTTGAGGGTGGGGTGGGAGAGGGAGCACAGGGTGTCGCTGGAGAACAAACTTGAGAGAATATAGTTGCAGAGAAGAGAGGAGAGGAGAGGAGAGGAGAGGAGGGGAGGGGAGGGGAGAGGACCAGGAGGCATAGACCAGGGATAAGAACATGCTGGAGTAGAGGAGGAGGAGATAAGAGGATGCGCGAAGAGCTAGTAGGGAAGAGCGGCGTAAAGAGGTGAAAAGTTGGGGGAGTGGGGTCACAAAAAGAGGACGGTGCAGAGAAGGAGAACAGAAGAGAGAGGAGCATGAGTGGAAAATGATAATTAGAAGAAGAATGATGAGGATGGAGAGACGAGGATATTGAGATGCTGGAACCCCGATCGCCGAACTATCGAGCAGATTGTCGATGCATGGCGGGGGCATGGCGATGAAGGGATGGGGGAGCCTTGGGACAGTTGTTTGTACTGTGGACTGACATATGTTCCAGATGTCTGAAGTTGTTCGTACTCGCTACAAGATCGTCTGCCCAGATGCAACTTTACGCTTCTATTTGAAGTCAAACAATATCAGGCACATCAGAGACGTACTTCGTGGTGTCGTCAATGTGACTCCTGAAAGCTGCTACGTCTTGCAGTACCAAGACGAGGAAGAAGATCTTGTGAAGATCGAATTCCAGGAAGATCTCGACGACATCATTCGTAGCCTATCAAAGAAGTCTTCTCTGAGTCTGATACTCACAGAGTGTGAGGACGGGGTTCATCGGAGCTTCTTTAGGACATCGCCAGAAGAGGAACAAGCGGACCGGAGTTTTGATCACGAAGTTTCTCATCTTAAGGTGGAGTACAAGAAAAAGCGGGAAGAAAAGGCTCATAAGACCAAAAGGAAGAAGCTGGACAAGGAGCAGAAGATAAGGAAAATCGTTGAGCAGGTTCTGAATGAGCGAATGCGAAAGCAAGCAGACACAGAATCTGACAAGGGCGTGTCGAGCGACTCTTCTGAATCATCTGGTGAACCATCGAAAGGCTGTGGGAAAGAATTTCGTCAGGATGCTGAGCATTCCACGGAGGATCGTGATTTGAGTCTACTGCTGTCCTTGTTGGAAGAGAGCCTCGATCTTGAGCAAAGGAGTGCATTGCTCTCTTTCATGGACGCTGGTGAGAGTGTTGCGCGAGCTCGTCTCAAGGATGGTCATGTACAAAGAGCATTGAATCACTTCATCGAGGCCCTTCAACTCACAGATGTAGAAGATCGCATTGAGCATGGAGTGCAAGAGCCAAGTTGTGCTGCATCGTGCGGGGCTGCTCATGGCATTCATGGAATGAGGAGGAGGATGCGACACAGATCAAGACATAGTTGCCATGCTGATTCTATGATGAACAGCATTTTGGCATGTTCCCTGCCTCCGCCACCGCAGGAGGTCCTAAGTTTCGGTTCTCGTAGCCCTGCCGTGAGGGCATTGAGACTCATCCTGGTCTCTTTGGGTTACATGGAATGTGGACGAAGGGACTACTGTATAGGTGACTACTACGGTCATCGTGTTGTACTCGCGGTCAAGCGGTTTCAAGCTGATCACGGGATCAGGCACGAAAGTGGTACTTACGATGAGACTACCAGAGCTGCGCTTGTGCATGCGTTGAAGTCTCATGCTTGTAACGGAAGCAGTGTCGCTTCCAGGTATGATCGAGCAGCGCCTGCAGACAGATTTTGCTCTGCACAAAACGAGGGACAGGGCGAATCACAAGCTGGTTCAGCAGGCAGCTCCCCACATATTGACAGACAGCAGGTACACATAGTGGACACTGATGGTGATCACATTTTGTTTGAGCTGACCAGAGACGGCGCTCATGTCACGGAGTACGTTAACGGAAAGCTCGAGATGGAAGACGTTGCCTGGGTCGTTGTAAATGAAGCCTCCGGACACATCCGCGATCCAAAGGGTGTCCTTCAAGTCAGACCAGAAGAGAAGGAAGACAAACTGTCTAAGCTTCGCCAACTGTTTCAGCAAGCAGGCAAATGCTACAGCACAACATCGGCGCCCAAGGCTTGCACTATCGAGATAGACTTGGATCTAGACCAAGAGATGAACAACCAAGGAAAGCTTGAGGCAATTCGACAGAGTTTGCAACTATTACACGCGAACCCAGATGCTGCAATGTCATCGATTTGCAACTTCTTCCAAGTGTGCTCGGCCCAATCCTCTCACAGCCAGGAACCAAAACCCGAACCAGCAGGTGATCAAAATTACAAGCAAGCAGAATTAAACAGGCTCGACGATGTGCGGCAGGACCAGCAAGAAGAGCCAGGCGTTGTCATGGGTGAGGTCTTGCAAAACGAGAATGAGTCTGTGTGTCGTGGCAACGTAGCGCAGGGCTCTCAGGAGATGCAGGATGAGCTTCTGACGCTGCTAGACATGGGCTTTGGTTCGTCCGAGTCTGTTGAAGAGCTCGCTCAGCTTCTGAAGCATCATGGCGGCGATGTCTCACTCGTGGTCAGTGAGCTGATCCAGAGGCGTCTTGATGCCGTTTGACTCAAATATTGTGAAGTTTGACTCACGGTTGTGGTGAGTGTTAAGATGCTTTCAGCATGCGAGTTTTCCCTTGCCAGTAGGCTCGTGCTCGCTAGCCTTGTACGGTCGATTGTAGCAGTGCCAAGTTTGACTTGAGTAAATCCATGAAAGCAAATCGGGCCTTTGCGACTCTTCAGTGATCACTCATCACTTGCCTCGGCCATGATAGTGATGACTTTGTCACTCAGCATGGTTGAATAGCCTCACTGTCAGGGAGTCCTTCGCAGTCACCATACTGTGAATCGGGCCAACCTCCCTCAGCTGATCCGACCTCCAGGCCCATCATGAGCCATGCTTCGAGGCCTCAGGCTAAGTTGCCGGCCCGTGGCCCGGCCGCCGTCCCGCTGAGGCTCTCAGCCGCTCTCAGTGACTACGAGCCTGGGCCGACGATCATGGCACCGTGGCGCCAGTGTGAGAGGCAATAAAACAAAAAAAAGATTTCAAGCTTGTGAGAGCTCACAGTGTGGAACAAGGAGAGAGAGAGAGCCAGAGGTCGACAGAGCAACAAGGGAGCGATGGCGGCGGGCAGTAAGAAGTTGTCGGCGAGCAGGACCGTGGTGTATGAGATGTGCATGGGAGGGTTCGACAGAAGCCTTTCTTCAGCCGGTGAAGACCTAGATGGCAGCAAGAGAGAAGCCGTCAGCACTACCTTCTCTACCCTCAGAATGCAGTATGTTGTTTTGCGCAGAGCATGTTCGATTCATGATTCTTCTTGTGCAAGGTTGCGCAGTTCCAGGCAGGAGGCGTCTGAGTGCAGGTATCGGCTACAACAGGCGGAAAATGCCGTAAACAACGTTACGATGTTGCTCAACGCAAAGTCCCAAAGCTACAATGAGCTAGAGAAGAAGTGTGAGGTGCTGGAAAAGCAGATCAAGCAACTTACCAACAGAGCAAGAACGTGTGAGACGGTATGCCGAGTGAGCAGAGTTTGTAATGGAGAATAGATGATGCATCATTTGATCAGGCGATGGGAGCGATGATGAAACGGGAAGCGGAGCTTCGATTAGAGGCTAAACAGCTCCGTGCACAACACGATGACTTTGATGAACTGATTGCAAGAGTTAGAACATGTTCTCCTGTTTACGAGCCGTGTATTTTGATGCCATCAATAGGGGAGAAAGAGAGAGTTGGAGGCGTTGGAGCGCCTTGCCAAAGCTGAAAAGGTGATGGCAGACTAGAAGCTCTTGACTCCAACTGTGTTAGACTTCAGCTGATACTGAGACGTGTTCTTCTGACAGAAGGGTAACGAGTCTGACGTGCAGCTGCGCGAAGCACTGGCTCAGATAGAAAGGTTGACTTTGGAGGCGGTCGACTTGCGCACAGGTCTTAAGGTTACCAGCCCTGTCAAGGGAACGACTGACTTGAACGAAATTGCTCTGAGATGTGTGTTTGACAATCCAGGCCATGGAGGAGATGGAGAATGCGCATGTTGAGGGAGATGCTCAAATCAGATCAAAACAAAGTCCTACATTCAGCGTACATTTCGAATTGTGCCTTTTGAAATTTTGATTTCCTAAACTTCCAGGACCAGCAACACGAAATCATGAACTTGAAAATGCTCGCACTGAAAGCTCAACGTGGGGCTAGTGGACCTTGAATGTTTGTTTTCCTTACGCTCGTTCAATGCAGAAAACAATGAGCTGCTAGAGAGAAAGCTCGTGCGTGAAGTAACAAGGAACAGACATAGAGAGCAAGTGGGCAAAGTTCAGCATTTGTTTGCTGTCCGGCTAAGTTGACTCTACTTCAGGTCCTCAGCACCGTGAAGACCTTGTTCAGCTCATTCTGCAACAAAGTTCTCTCAAGAAAAAGCAAAGTAAGACTGCCCTTCCTTCCCTCAAGCATTTCTCACACCCACCATCATCCATTGCTCTGGTCAGGTGCTAGATGATTGTTCGGACTTTGCCTTCGCCAGACCGGCCATGGAGGGCCTGACAACCTTGCAAGCAGATCTTCAGTCTATGGACGCAGTTGGCGGTCTAGACCGACAAGATGTCCGTTCCCGACAGAGCTCGGCGGCAGCTTTTCGGAACGAATGCAGATGGTTTCTGCTGGAGGTGCGATGCTTCAAGTCTTGTCTCCTAGAGCGCTGCTTCTATGTATGATAACGCTGTGCGGTTGAAGTGACTACTCGTCAGATCACGCAGCTCGAGAGAGCTTTGGAGGACTTGTTCGATGCCTTTTGGACTGACGGGTCATGGTTCGGATTGGAGCAGAAGCAGCAGCCCGGGATGCAGAATGAAATCTCAAGTCGACTGTGTTGACACGGTCGTTCCGTCCGCCGAGACTTGGTAGAGTCTGATACTATTATTGAGTCGGGGCTGCCGGGGGTGGCACTCGGAGTACCCAGTCAGCCTGGTTCGGTACTCGGCGGCGGTACTCACGGGCGGCCCGCCGGCCCGGGCCCTGACCGCCGGCCGGGCCCGTGTAGTTTGAAGGGGACTCCTTGATTCTTTGCCTATCAGTTTAGGTTCGGACTCCGAAGTAATGTGATGTGGCAACATGACTTCCCGGCGTCCCTGAGAGCCTGAGAACGAACTTCTGCGACTCCGGGTCTCGGTGCCCGGCGGTGCCATGCCATGATGGCACCCGGGATCCGATCGGCGGGCCGGCACTGGCGGGCGGCGGGGGCTGGGCCGCCCCCCAGGGCCCCTGCCCCCCCGTGACCGTCTCGTCCGAGGGAACCCGGTCCCGCCGGCCCGGATTGGCCGCGGCGTGCCGCTGAGTGCCACCGTGACCCACGACTCCCGTACCGGCGTACCGTACTACCGTAGTGACGGTACCGTACCGTAGTACGGTTGACCACCGGGCGGAAGCTGGCAGACCAGCAGCAGACCCACGGGGGTGGAACTCCTCTTTTACCGGTATTAGGACGGGTACTTTTCCAATCCTTTTTACAGGGGTGGGGTAGTAGAATTTGTTGGGAATCGCAATGGCGATCCCGCGACAAACTGTTTCGAGGATGAATATCTCAAGAATGAAAATCTGTACAATGCAAAACAAACATTTTGTATTTAGAGATACATACAAATTGTCATTCTCTATACTTGTTCGCTTTGTACACGTCTTAATTTTTGACATTTTGTCCTTTCTATCTCTTCTTCCGTAGACTTACAACCAGACAAAGTTCGTAAACCCTGAAATCTAGGCATTTGTCCTGTGAATCCTCCTCGTGTATCCAAAGATTGAGTATGTATACGTTTCCGAGATCGAGGTTGGGACCTGCACACATTCTCTTTGTCCCGTGTTCCTTCCTCTGCGTTGAAAAGCTTCTTCTCCCCGCGTGGTCTGCTAAGAATGATTCGCTTTTTTGAGTGGTCATACACAAAAGGCAGATTGGGATCGAATTTTTTTGAGAGCTCAGTGCATGCTTTGTTGAATTTCCTCAAGAAATCTTTCTTGTTCAAATGACCTATCAAAGACCAGAGGTTTTCAACGCTGTCTGTGCAGAGCGTCCGTGCATTGAAGTCATACTCCTTTTCACCCAACACACCTTTGTTGTTGCTCAAATAACTCTGTATCTGTAGATGTGTGTCCATGGCTACAATCAGTCCTTCGAAGGTTACAGATGACAACCCCCTCATGTGCCTCTTGCCCACCCTCATCCAATCCACATCTCTTAGAAGCCAGGTTCGAGCTCTAAGAATGAGATTTCTTCTTTCAGACTTGGTGAGGCCTCTCTCGTCGAAAGCTCTGTGAAGGCCGTTCATTGCTTCTGCCATTCTTGCTGTTTCAATGTGTCCCTCTGCATTCAGAAGCGATATGGCCTTGCTGCTGAACATTTTTAACATGATATCCACTGATTGAGGGTCCGTGCACCCATCGACTTCCAGCTGCGTTAGCCATGACGAATTCTTCTTGGAAATATCAGTGTACGCAGCATGCCATGTTTTAGCCTCTTGCTGTGCAGTCGGGTTTCTCCCCGAGCCAACCGTGTGCCTGACATTCTTCAGTAAATGATTGATACATGGCGCAAAGAAAAGTAGCTTCTTCGTGGTTGGAGAGATAACAGGGTTTGACAGGTACTCGTTGAATTGAAACCTAATCTTGTTTGGATCAAATTCTTCCAATCCATCTGTGATCAATCGTTCGAGCTCCCAAGGCGTGAATTTGGCTGTTTCATTCTCTGCAACCCCTTGTTGTATAATGCTATCATATCCATACCGTCGGCAGAAGATGTGGATTCTGCTGTACATCTCGTTCAAACAGGCCTTAGTTCTGGTGGCAGGAGAACACTGCAATTTCTTTTCTCTCTGGACCTGCCATATCAATTGGTTCCTCCTCAAACTCAAGACGAATTTCTCTATTTGGGCAAACTCTGCAGTGTTCATGTGCATTATTCCAGATCGAGTTCGAATTGTCACTTGGGACAAGTCAGGTCCATCATATTGGTTCATATTCAGCAAATTGCATTCTCTCTCTACTTCCTGTGCAGTAATGGCTGGTTCAAAGTCGAATACGCATGAAATGTATGATGCGATCTCTGAGCATATCTGTGATATGCTCAGCTTCTGGGCCTCTTGTTTGATAGCCTTCACCTCCGTTATGAATGTGCTTGGATTGTTCACGTAGTAATTCCTGTATATGCAAGAAAACTCGCCGTCAAAAGACCAGACATTGAAAATAATTCCACGCTCGTGAGCCTCCTTTGTAACGGCTTCCAATATTCGAAGACCTTCAGAGGCACTTAAACTTTTGGTTGAAAAACCAATGTACATGGGGACAGGGGGTGTGCTCGCACATCCATCTTGTGCAACCACACTGATGGCATCTTCAGCCAGTTCAGCAACTGTATGCTTGTAAAATTTCTCATTGTACTTGTACAACTCGTTTTGAAGTTCTGATTCGTTGACAGGCAGATCGCCATTCGCCATTCCCTCCAGTTTTCCTATCAATCGAGGAATTTCTACATCCATCTGTTCACAGCCTTCAATTACTGTCTTGAGGTAACGTTGATGTGGTGTGAACCTGACATCCTCTGGAGATTCGCCTCCGGTTCTATGCTTGGCAACAAATGCATTTCGAACCTTCTTGTATGCTTGCTCCATATCACTCTTCCTCTGATGCACACTCTGTTGATCGGATCTCAACATGCCAACCAGCTGTTCGCTGATATAGTGTTCTGTCTTTCCTGTCAAACAAAACTTTTCCTTGCGATCTTCAAGCAGGTCAAGTCGCTGAGCCAAGTCAGGTTCATGACTTGTTATACCCCCCAGATCTGCTTCACATTCCTCAAACACAGAACAAAATCCTGCATTTATCATTGTTTTGTCGATCGCACAACAGTTCACTCCAGTCTGACAATGCTCAGGATTCATTCGACGGAATTCATCCATCATAAATGTGCACACTCTGGACCTATCATTGCCATGCAGTTTCATGAGATGCCTATCTCGTTTCTGAAGAGTGGATGTGGATGGCAGAGGTAAGTTGTGTAACATCTGGTCCGCATCAAAAGTTCCAGTATTTTTGTTCCCCGGCCCTGTGAGCAAGCGATATAGACCTGAGGTGCCGACATTCCAAATTGATGCAGCGAAACTCATGACTTGCTCAGAGTATCGCATGCCTCTAGTGTCCTTTGTTCGAAAGCCTTGTCGTATCCAGTCGCTCACTATGAATGGCATGATGGGGTGTTTGCTCTTCATGCCATCTCCTTCCTGACTGGCGAACATTACGACATCTGAAACTATGTCGGGAAGCTCAGCAGAACGGAGGTTATCCATCGCCCTTTCAACATGGCAGATGGTGAGAAAGCACTTGGCAGTAGGACTTTCGTCATTGGATTCTTCAAGAGACTCATGCTCTTCAAGAATGCTTCGGATGAAATCACGTCTATCCTCCAATGGCATTGACTTGAAGTTCTCGCACATTGTATGTGCGAGGAGAGCGAATGCTGTTTTGATATTGCTGTTCTGGTCTTGGCTAATATGTTCAGGCCTTACATACCTGCATGTGGCATGTCAGTACTCTGGTGCATTCCAGCTCGCTGGTTACCTTGAGTGATAATCGTGTATTTGCTTTTGTAGCTCGTCAACAGTGTCATAGTGCGAAGTGGCCCAATGTCTGATTTTCTTACACAATGCCTTTTGCTTTTGCCGATGATTCTTTACTTGAATTCGAAGCTTTTGCGCGTCTATGTGCAGCTGGAATTGATCACGATGCATTTTGGCATCTGCTCCTTGTTGAAACGAGGTGAAGTAATGAAGGAAACAATTTTTGAAGCCCTCTGCATTCTGTCCAAAGAGGTCACCTAGAAGCGTCAACTTTGCTCGCACATGAGAAGTGTTGATGGTGTGCTGGCTCAGCTTGAGATAACTAGCCGCTACTTGTAGCAAGCTATCATCCGCGTCGCTTATCTTCAACGTTGCGTGCCCGATGTTTTGCAGAAAATGTAACAATTTCAGCACCAATGCGTCAGTGAACACTGCATAATCCTGTACAGTTTTCAAGTCGATGTCTTTGAAAGCCCGTCGACAACGTGAACAAGCTTTGATGCAGTGTTCAGGGATCGTCCGAATACTGTTCGTACTGTATCTCGTCTTACAAATAGGGCATTCCTCTCTGTCTGCTGTCGTCTTGCTCATGGCAAGGATGCAGTGCAGATTGCCCGCCAAAATTCGGATTTGAATTTCTCCCCATGGCGCGTCATAGATCTTGCATCGTTGCCTTATACCCCCTGCATGACCACCGCCCTCGATGTGCATCGCGGTCGATGGGAGGGGTATTTAACTGAAAATTAGTACCAGGTATGGGCTAGAGGCAGTGGTTGGCCCGCGGATGAGATCGAATATAGTAGTTCCACCCCCGTGCAGCAGACCTCGACCCGAGGGGATGAGGGACAAACACGAACGTTGAAAATGGACCCTTGATGCGATGTATGGAAAGTGCTCCTCCAAGCGACAATGCCACGTGTCATAACGCCATCCTCCTCTTCGGACATGCTCAGATGACGTAGCTGAGATGACATCGAGTTGACATACCTTAGTTGACATCACTCCATCAGTGTGCGTCTTGATGTATTTGTTGAATGTTTGGCTTGATGTAGGCCTCAAGGTGGAATCTTGATGCGTATGTTGACGCCTGTCTTCTCAACATTCATCTCTCTGTTATATTCACCCTGCTTGTATTTACGTTTCTCCTCGTTTCAATGATTTTGTGCGTGCTAATCTCTCTAAACATTCAGTGTGCTTCGCTAACTCTTGTTTGCTCAGACATTCACTGCACATCTCCATCTCCCTTGTGGTTCAGGGAGGACTTGTTTGAAAACAGTGCAAACAGGTGCATGTAGATCGCTGGACAGGATCGATAAAGGTCCCTTGCTCATTCAGATCTTCATCCTCCACGAGGCTGCGAGCATGGAGATGGTAACGTGTAGGAGACCAAGTCAGTCCTTGGAGCACAATGTGTTTCAAAGCGCACTGCATCGCAAGGTAGTGGCCAGGGACAAGTGTTGAGCACGACCAGAGCATGCAAAACATGTGATATCCACGGCATCGGACGGCTAGTCTGAAGCAGGAATGCTCCGCTCCTTGCTCCGGAGGAAGTCGAAGGCGAGTGTGGAAGCAGCCGAGGTCGGGGAGCCTGCATATACTCCAGCAGCATCGGCTACAAGGGCAGACGATCACGTAGAGCCGGTCGAGCGGGACCAGCCGACGTGGAGGAGAAGTTCGCCGCTTGTCAGGGAGGAAGAAGTCCCACTGGATGTGATGAAGAACATTGGCTTCCTCCAGGGGAAACTCAAGGAGCTCATGGACGTTCTCCTCGGCCCCGACGTCGTGCGGCAATGGCGCGCAACGCAGCTGGATGCCTTGTTTGAGAAGCTGCGGGAGCTGCTGACTGGAGAGGATGAGATGACGAGCAAGATCAGGAGGGGGCTGGCGCTCAACGATGCAAGCAGGCATCGGCCTGACATAGATCATCCGATGCCCATGGAGGCGCTAGAAGTCTTCAAGTCTCCTCACTACGAGAAGCTCAGGAAGTTCTCGCATGATTCCAAGGAGGAGGTTATGTCGGCATGGAGGACAGCTTCGATGGAGTACCTCCTCGCCTCTACCCTCCTCTGCTTCATCAGATTCCTCGATAGAAACTCCCAGGCTTCCCGTGAGTGCATGACTGTCCGGCACCTCTCTGAAACTCTCGTCACCACCATGGCCCCGGTTCTCAACGGACGTTCGGAAGGCATGGCACAGGAGCCGGAGCTCACATACGCCAACATGCTGCGGGCTGCGGAGACTGCCTGGAGCATTCAGACAGCTGCAGAGAGTCAGTATCGGCAGCTTGTGGTGAAGAGTTGGTGTGAGGAGAACGAGCAGGCGATCTTGGACTTGATGGATGAGAACATCGAGGAGCGAGGAGATGGGGGGCAGTCTCTATGGGGGGGTATGGACGACAAGTATGAACGGTTGAAGCTGAATACCCCGCTCTTCAACTTCCTTGACTTCATAGTCTCTTTCCTTGACTTCTGCTACGCCAACGGATACGTCTTCAAGCCGAGCTCGAAGCCGGTCAAGACGTGGAACAATGAGGATGTGTGCGAGTGGGCGAGGAACCTCAAGTTCTCCCACTACCTCCCAGCCATCGTCTCCTCCGGGATCAATGGCGATGCACTGTTGGAGCTGTCGCGAAGGGACTTGGAGGAGGTGCTGGAGGTGCGGGACGGAAGGGACCAGGAGAAGCTATGGGCAAACCTCGAGGTCCTCCGTAAGACTTCCACCTACGAGCCGGTAGGGAAGCTCGTGCGAGAGACCCGCAGGCTGGAGACTCTCCGTGTGCCCGACGGGGCCCGAGGAGGAGAGAACATGGTAGTGCACGACCCGTCAGGGAAGCAGGTGAACATCGTCATCCCCACGGAGACTCAGGATCGGACGCGCAAGCTGGAGGCTGGGATGGAGTTCAAGCACAAGTTCACGTACAAGAAGGTCGTGCTCAACAAGTGGCAGCTGGCGCAGAACTCGACGATGAAGGAGATGGAAGGGTTTGCGGGATGTCTGAAGGAGGGGGAGGAGCGCAACGCTCGAACTCTGTGGAAAGGAGCTCTTCGAAAGGTCAAGACGATGAATCTGCTTGAGAGCAAGGTCAGCAGGAGGCTGAGGATGAGTCAGTCGGACGATACCGTCCGGCTCTCTGCCATGGACCTCCTCCCCCGAGACGCCTACACCCTCCGCGACTTTCTCGTTGCCAACAGCATGTGCAAGAGGCTCGAGCTCTCCTTCAATCGCTTCGGGGCAGAAGGCGCGACCATCCTGGCGCAGGCGCTGAAGGAGAACAGAAGCGTGTCTGAGCTGAGGATCGCCAGCAACTGCATCGGCGACAAGGGAGCGATCGAGATCGCCGAGCTCATCCGCGTGAGCGAGTACCTGGAGGAGCTTGACTTGGGCGACAACGACCTCTCCTGCAGGAGCGGCATCGCCATCTTCTATGCCGCTGCCATGTCGCTCCCTGCCCGCAACGCGTCCGGGCAGAAGGTGCCGGGCTCGCACATCCTGAAGCGCGTGCTGCTCTACCACAACCGCCTGGGCCCGCAGACGATGCAGGCGTGGGCCAAGTGCATATCGAAGCACCCCAAGCTGGAGGTCGACCTGACGGACAACAACGTGGGGGACGAGGGTCTGGTGAACCTCTCTCGAGCCGTGACGAGGCACTGGACTCAAGACCGGATGGACCTGCGGGGGATGCGGGTGGGGCCCGTCGGCCTGATGTCCCTCGTTTCCTCCATCGCCCTCCACTCCTTCCGTAGCGTCAGCACGCTCTACCTGTCGGGGAACCCGCTGGGAGGGGAAGGAGCTGACCATCTCATCCTCCTGCTCGAGCGGAACCTCGCCCTGACTGCGCTGGACGTCTCAGGATGCTCGTTGCAGGACAAGGGAGTGGAGAAGATCGCTCAGGGCCTGGAAAGGAACGAGCGGTTGGAGTACATTGACCTCGGCGACAACGACATCTCTGACCACGGCGTCAATGCTGTAGCCGCCATGCTGGCTGCCAAGGGGAAGCGCGCAAGAAACAGGCAGCATCTGTTTCCGTTCTCCCTCAAGCGGGTAGTGCTCAGCACCAACGGCATCACGTCTACAGGCTTCGGCCAGTTCGCTGCTGCTGTCACCATCGCGCACCTCGCAACCATCGAGCTTTCCTCCTGCAAGGTCCTCATCCTTCCCACCCCCCCCCCCTCCCTCCCTCCTCCTCCTCCTCCTCCTCCTCCTCCTCCTCCTCCTCCTCCTCCTCCTCCTCCTTCCTTCCTCCTCCTCCTCCTCCTCCCTCCTCCTCCTCCTCCTCCTCCTCCTCCTCCTCCCTCCTCCTCCCTCCTCCTCCTCCTCCCTCCTCCTCCTCCCTCCTCCTCCTCCTCCCTCCTTCCTCCTCCTCCTCCTCCTGAAACCTTTAACTTCGCTATCTCTCGCTCCTGCTCCTCGATCCTCGCCCGTGCTTCTTCCAGCTCCCCGTGTCCTGCGGGACCGGCGACTTCCTGTTGTCTGATAGCTGGCGATACTT